TATGTCTGTATGTCTGTATGTCTGTATGTCTGTATGTCTGTATGTACGTATGTCTGTATGTCTGTATGTCTGTATGTCTGTATGTCTGTGGCATGCATGCATGCATGCATGCATGCATGCATGCATGCATGTGGGCATGTATGTAGGCATGTATGTCTGTATGTCTGTGTATGTATGTATGTCTGTATGTGTGCATGTATGTATGTCTGTATGTCTGTATGTCTGTATGTCTGTATGTCTGTATGCCTGTATGTCTGTATGTCTGTTTGTCTGTATGTGTGCGTGTATGTATGTCTGTATGTCTGTATGTCTGTATGTCTGTTTGTCCGTATGTCTGTTTGTCTGTATGTCTGTATGTCTGTATGTCTGTATGTCTGTATGTATGTATGTCTGTATGTCTGTCCGTATGTATGTATGTATGTCTGTATGTATGTATGTATGTGTGTGTATGTGTGTATGTATGTATGTATGTATGCATGTAATGTAATGTAATGTAACGTAACGTAATTTAATGTAATGCAGTCATGTAATGTATGTAAATCTATATACACAATTATATAACCATAAATCATGATATCTGATCATGGCCATGGGTCACCATGAGTTCTCCACGCCGTTACCAAGGGATGCCTTTTTCGTTCCTTGCCGTGTCCGGTCCGGCCTGCCACATCAATGCACTTGCTGGGCAAAGGGGTCCACCTGGACAGGCTGAAGGCACCCAGGCTTTCCACCATGGCTGTTGGGTCGATGTTTGTTACCCTCTGGTAAACATGAAATTACTTTACTTCGTGTGATCCCCACCATGACATTTATACATTTTGTTACTGGCAAATCTTCTGGCATTCTATCTGACATATTTTCTGGCATTCGATCTGGCATTCTATCTGGCATATCTTCTGGCATTCTACCTGGCATATCTTCTGGCAGATGTTCTGGCTTCTGGCAGATGTTCTGGCATATCTTCTGGCAGATGTTCTGGCATATCTTCTGGCATTCCATCTGGCATCTATCTGGCATATCTTCTGGCTTCTGGCATATGTTCTGGCATATCTTCTGGCATTCCATCTGGCATATCTTCTGGCATATTATCTGGCAAATCTTCTGCATTCCATCTGGCATTCTATCTAGCATATCTTCTGGCATATTATCTGGCAAATCTGCTGGCATTCTATCTGGCAAACATTCTGGCACTTTATCTGGCATATCTTCTGGCATTCTAGCTGACATTCTATCTGGCATTCTATCTGGCATACCTTCTGGCATTCTATCTGGCATATCTTCTAACATTCTATCTGGCATATCTTCTGGCACTCTATGTGGCATATCTTTTGGCGTGGATACTCGCGTTGAGGTCCGGCAGGGAACACTGGGCGTGGATGGTCGTGGTTGAGGTCCGGCAGGGAACACTGGGCGTACTCGGGTTGAGGTCCGGCAGGGAACACTCGTGGTTGTGGTTGAGGTCCGGCAGGGAACACTGGGCGGGGATGGTCGTGGTTGAGGTCCGGCAGGGAACACTGGGCGTGGATGGTCGTGGTTGAGGTCCGACAGCGAACACTGTGGATCGCGAGTCGCAGTTGAGCAGGAGGACGAGGAGGACAACGAGAGGAGGAGGACAACGAGAGGAGGAGGACAACGAGAGGAGGAGGAGAGGAGGAGGAGGAGGCAGGAGGAGGAGGCAGGAGGAGGAGGACCAGGCAACTTAGATAAAATCTAACAACCCTCACCTGGCAGGTGGGGAAAAAACTATGGAAAATCACCTTTTTTAATGGGTAAATCCACTGTTTCTATGGCCATTTTCAATAGCTATGTTAAATTACCAGAGGGTACCAAGAATCCACATTCACCAACAGAGCATCAAGATTTTGAGATCGGCACCTGATGTTACCTTCCTTCACAGGTGTCCAGAAGCGCTGTTGGGGAAGACCAGGGTCCCCTGCAGGGCGCCAGGGTGCCCAAAACCCTCCAAGACCTGAGACAAGGCCCAGCTAATCAGAGCTAATGTACATCTAAATGGGCCATATTAGATATGTTCAGTGTTCACCATCTCATTGGGCCAACTTTCCATCAATTTTGAGACTCATTTTCACGTACCTTGGGGGTCATGAAGGTGGGTTGCCGACCAGAGACTCAGTCCATAAGCATGGGATCTCCGGCGCATTCGCTATCATCCGTCATGGGGCAGATGTTCAACAATCTGGGTGCGTTCCAAATGGACGAAATTCTCTATTTCGCGTATGGCTGCCTCCCTCTTGTTCAGAGATGTAGCCAACTTATCTGGATCTCTTTGAGGTGCTTTTGGCAATGCCACAAACAACTACCATTTTTGGGGTTGGTTTATGGGTACCATTTCTGATGATTTTGGGGATGGTTTGTGAAATTGGGCTTACCACATTACGCGGACTACCCTTCTTCCCACCTCCTTGGCGGCAGCCGTTCATCCGCAGGATCCTCGCCGGCACTGGTTGGGAGTATACCCTCTGGTCATTCAACATACCAATGGAAACTGTGCCATTTATAGGCGATTTTTGTAGGATGTTTCATGAAATTAGCTGGATTTAGTGGGATATCATGGGATATTATATGATGACCCGGCTGGGTTATTTAGCCTAGCTCTGGAACATGGACTAAAATTCAAAAATGGACCATCTCGCTCGGTGACTTACCATGATCTACCTATTGCTTTTAAATTGTGACTTTCAATAGCTAGGCTATGTTAAATTGCCAGAAGGTGTATGATGATTGATATGCAAGCATTGAAATCACCAAGCAGGAGGACAAGCTCCAGGTCTCCGTTGAACTGATAAGCCATAGCCATGCTGGAAATTGGTGTCTTTCGGTGAGTGTCTTCCATCAGCCTTGCTCTGATTCTTCGCCAAAGTTTCAGCTGTCTCAAATTCTAGGACAGGTCGTTATACAGTAACTCAACTCAGACAAAAATCAAAAGACCCAAATCTGGGTTTAGGCGCGGTGCTTCAACTTTGAGCAAGGTCTTTTCTCATGAGCTAAGTTCCAATACTGATTGCCTCCCAAGTTCATCCATTCGCATGTTTAAAGATTACACATGAGCCATCTCCCACGCGGGAAAGCTTTGAAAGTGGCCCCCCCCAAAACCCCATGGTCTCACTAAATCATCTATTCTCCCAATCTAAACAAAATCAAGGGGAAATTCCAATGTTGGGTAACCACATAGCCACATCAAACCCAGCCCCCAGGTCCAGTCCATTGATCCGAACTTCTAGACCTCAGCAGTACTCAGTAATCCCCAAAAAGATGCAGAAAAAGTGTGAGTTAGGACTTTTTTGTTTCTGGTGGTGGCTATAAAGTTCTCGTATTGCTGAAAGATTTGCAGAATCTATACTTAAAACATCTTAAAATATATTTGAAATTGATGTTCAATATTGCTGCTGACGATGTTTAAAATCGTCAAAAGGGTGTTTCCCCCAAATAGATGTTACAGTAGTTGCTTCTTTCGAAGGTCCAATGCCATCTTGTAGACCATGACCGTGCCCTAAGCCCGCGACACCTCCAGACAGCGTGCCATGGCGCTGATCTGGGTAACCAAGCCTGCACCGCAATGGGGCTTTCTTAAAATGGGGGAACCCAACATCATCTGGTTGGTGGTTTTAACCATCTTGAAAAATATTAATGGGAAGGATTATCCCATATATTATGGAAAATAAAAAATGTTGCAAACCACCAACCAGTCATGCATTTTGTTTTATCAGGTTCGATAGTAAGTAATAGGTATTCCACTTTTGAGAAACACACAAATAGTTGTGTTCCAGTCTTGTTTCCCACAGTGATGAGACCCTATCAGTTCCCCCCTTGATGGGTTACAACTAGCCGGCCCAGAACTGGGCCCATCACTGGCAGGGGCCCATTGTTACAACTTCCAAGAATTCTGTTACATTTGGGATGCTCAACAGGGTGCCAACGGATCCACAAAATGAATCAAACATGGGTCATGGTTATAGCAAACCAAATCAAAAAATTGATGTCTTATAAGGCTTCAAAGAGCAAAAGGTACGGTCCTTACTGACCAAGTTGTTGGAGCATGTGAGAGCCAGTTATCCACGGGCTTTTGGGTCTTTGAAAAAAGATGGCGGCTAAGAGGGCGCTACAAGCTGGAAAGCGCTGTCAATCACCCCAAAAGCCAGAAACAAGATGAGAGGCCACTCATGAACTATCCAAGCTTTCCTGCACTTTGACTATGTTGTTTTCTCCCTGTTCTGAAAACACCAACCGCCATGAAGTACCATTTCCATCCATTTCCATCCAAGCAAGCGATTCGATCCATATCACGAACTTTTGACTTAACCACTCAACACAGAGTCCCCAGCAACGTCTCCCTTTTGGAACCACAAGCCGAGTCAAATGTAGCAGCTCAGACCACTGGGACCACTGGGGGTATTCTTCTACCTCGGGCACGGTGCCCGGTGCCTCCCATTTCATCCATTTAGGGTAGTGAAACCCAACATCTACAATAATTCCTCCCCAAATGGTCTGTTCTGAAAGGAATTTCATGGCTTGGGCGGTACACATTTAGAGAGACACTCATGTTTTGGCCACACCATCCTATAAAAATCATGTCAAGTAGAGGGGGGTCTGATATGGTCTATGGTCCATGTGGTCTAAGAGGGTCTGAGCTGGGATGTTTGATCCTGGAACCCATAGATTGCCGAATGATCTTGGTGCCGGGGTTGTCCTGGCAGACAATCTAACGATTGCAACGGCTCGATTCGCTCGATCCCTTCCCAGCCGAAATCCCCGTCCCTTTCTCAGCGAAGCAGATCAGCCGTGTGAGCTATGCATGGGATCCATATGACCATCACGGGCCTGCTCTGCTTTCAGGTGTCACTGCCATCAAATCCCAGGCAGTCACTATCGCCATACGATACACGGGGAAGGTTTAGTGACATCGGATGGAGGAGGTCTCCTCCCACGACTCCACAAATGGTGCTTCGCCACCGCAGTTGCCACTCCCCACATCCAGCCACTGCTCACCCAACGTCCCCTGTTCCACCTCCGGCACGACGTTGCGCACGTCGCGCGCGTCGCGCACGGCGCTTCGGCTGACACGGCAGGTCGGCAGAAAGAAGTTTCTCTGGTGAAGTCTGGGCCTGGAACAGGAGGAACATGGAGGAACTGACCCGCGCCAAGAGGTGTACAAAGTCATGTGGTTTCCATTGGAGTTTCAAGTTGTGAGTCTCGGCATGCAACTTATTCAACCATCCTTTAAGCACCGTTCCATCCCCAGGTAAGGTCCAACATGGTCCAACAAATGAAAACAACCTAATTCTATCAAGTGGTTTCGGATTCAAAATAACGGTGCTTGAAACGGAATACACAAGGCTTGTGGTTCAAGCTTTGTTTCCAGCTCGGACAATAAATTCCCCGACTTAAGAGGCGCGTCCCCGACGTGTGGTCCTGACATGGTCTATGAGCTGCAACGTTTCCAAGTCTTGATTCAGTTTAATTGTTCTGCTAAGACTGTATATGTTCTAGATATTACGGGTGCAGAATAGTTTTTGTTTTATATGTATCCAGCAATTCTGCTTTTTTTTGGGGGTTTTCTTTCCTGGTACCATTTGCCTTGTATTTGCAAACAATGGAACTAGAACCTGTCGCATGGTATTTGCTACATTATGGCATGGTCACGTTGAATTTTGCATGGTATTTGCTACATTTGGCCATGTTTGCCTTCCATTTTGCATGGGATTTGCCACATGTTGGCACTCCAACCTCTCAATTGCATCGTATTTGCTACATTTTGGTACTTCAAACGTTCATGTGGGTTTCTTGAGGGTTTCGTCAGGGCCGTTAGGGTTTCATTTATATAGGGTTTCGTTTAAGGTTTCTTTAGGATTTTTTTTAGGGTTTCATTTATGGTTTCTTTAGGGTTCATTTAGTGTTTCACTTAGTTTCCTTAGAGTTTCATTTATATAGAGGGATTCATTTACGATTTCCAAACGTTCAAGTGGCTTTCTTTAGGTTTTCTTTTGGGTTTCATTTAGGGTTTCATGTAGGGTTTCTTGAAGGTTCCATGTAGGTTTTAGGGTTTCTTTATAGTGTTGTTTAGGGTTTCTTTTTTGAGTCTCTTTAGGTCTTCATTTAGTTTTTTTTTAGGGTTTCATTTGAGGTTTACGGTTTCTTTAGAGTGTCATTTAGGGTTTCTTTTTTGGGTCTCTTTAGGTCTTCATTTAGGTTTTTTTTGGGTTTCATTTAGGGTTTAGGGTTTCTTTAAAGAGTGTCGTTTAGGGTTTCTTTAGGGTGTTGTTTAGGGTTTCTTTACGGTGTCACTTAGGGTTTCATTTAATGTTTTTTTTTGTTAATTTATGGTTTCTTTTGGGTTCATTTAGGGTTTCATGTAGTGTTTTTTAACCGGATTTCTTATCAGGATTCCTTTACGGTTTCTTTGGGTTTCACCTAGGGTCTCTGTAGGATTTCATTTGGGATACAAACAGGAGAGAATAAAGCAAAAGAAAATGAAAAACACAGAGACAGCAAAGACAGGAAGCAGAGAAGCATAGGAGCAGGAAGTAGAGCAGCAAAAACTGTCACATGACCGAAGAAAAAACAAGTAGAATAGTAGAAGTAGAAAGGCACAGAAGCAGAGAAGCAGGAAAAGCAGAGAAACAGGAAAAACAAAAACCAGAAAAGCAGAGAAGCAGGAAAAGCAGAGAAGCAGAAAAACAGAGAAGCAGGAAAAGCAAAGAAGCAGAAAAAACAAAAAGCAGAAAGAGCAAAAAGCAGAAAAGCAGAAAAACTGAGTAGCAGGAAAAGCAGAGAAGCAATCAAAGCAGAGAACCAGGACCCCCAAAAAAAACAATACCTGCCCCCCCCCCCAAAAAAAAATAAGTAGCCATCCTATTTCTATACTGCTGGTGCAAATCGTAAACGAAGACCGAATTCAGAACAAAATGATAAAAATCAAACTCTTGACATGATTTCCTTGAAGCTACATCCCCAGTTTGTTTCTTATCCCCAACTGTCCGAGCATCAGCTGTGCCCCTGCGTTCTTCCTGCAGTTCATCGTCTTTCTGCCCAGCGCAATCTCTCTCCAATTCGATCTTCTCATCAATGCCGAACCTTTCCTGAAGGGATTTTCTTCCAGCCCTGCTGAAACTTTGGACATTTTGGCAGAGAAATCCCGAGACATCCCAAGTTTTTGCAATTTCTAAATGTGTTTTGTTTATAAATATGTTGGAAATGCTTCGCGGCTCAACTGAGTTGGTTGGCACATCCGATGCATGAACTGGCTCACGAACACAAGTCATCCCTGGCTGACATGGCATTCATGGTGGTTCGTTGGGGAATCAAGATGCGCAGCAGCAGGTCATCACGCTGATTCTGATTGGCTGAATCAGCTCCTCTTTGGGTTCGATATGTTATGTAAATGCAAATGCCGGATCGAACAGAGTGGATTTCACACATTTCCACTTACAAGTCTCGTGTCAGTCACCAGTCCCACAATTTGTCCAACGATTCCACTGCCTTTCAAGAAACGCCAAATCAACAGCACAATGTTTCCCGGATTCCCAGAACCTCATCATCCAACAAACCCTCTAACCTGCACCAGTCATAAAACGCCAAAAGCCGAATGAGTGGAAAACAGTCAGCCAAGAAACAATACCATATGGAATCACTTCCAATTCCTTGGCCACGGTTGGCTGAGGATCGCGACAAACGCCATTGCTTTTTTATTTCACCTAGCAATGGAAGTCACCATTTCACCAGGGAATTGAAATATCAATCTACAAACGGAGGTGTCCAATATGTGAGTTCAGATTGTCACATAAAGTAACCATAGACATCTCATGAAAACTCCAGTCCCTCAGCGACGTTGCAAAAGGTCAAGGTGCATCTTGCCAATCTTCAAAGCGTTCCTCCCCTTTCGTTGGGGGATCGTTCGCGCAGAAGAAGACTCCTTCAATGACCACTGCGCAACTTGGAACCACCACCTCAACGGGCAACGGCTGGACCCAAATTCATATCATTTGATCTCTGCCTTAAGGAAGGCCAATTCTAGCTCTAGGCATACACTTAACGAAGTTGCAAACAGGGTTGGGATACGTGGAGATGCCCAGCCAAGAAAAAACCACCAAGATGATCCATGAACACGCCTTCCTTCCGTTGTACCTGGTGCTTCCTTTTTGGATCCTTTGGATTTTCCACAAGCAGCGCTACAAACAATCCCAAGTGCACCCACAACCGCATATCCCACTCACCTGATCTCCACCCTTGGATCTTTGTTTCCGCACTTCTTGAGGGTTATACCGAACCTGCCCAAAAACGAGAGGATCACAGAAAAAAACATCATCTAAAGGCCTCCCTGGAGCTCCCTGGGTTGAAAAAGGGTGGCAACAATGCCGTGGAGAAATTCCTACGTGTCTAATTTTGGAAAGGAGGTGGCACACCTGCCACAGATATATCTACTGTATACCCACCAGGAGTAGCTATACATTATGACATTCGCGAATTGCGCACAACTCAATTCGGAAAACCTCTGATGGAGTCAGCTTTCTGCAAAACATATTCAATGACTCGCAGATATTGAAATATCAGGGGAGGCACCTCATCTTCACTCAGGAAACCTTCATATTTGGATGTGTCTTAAAATCAGGTATGCCCCAGTGGTGGTATATGATGACAAACCATGGGATTTGGGGGTTCTAAATTCATGGGGGAATCGTGTATACATGTTGGAGGTACGGTATTATATTAAGATGTTTACCCTGATATTTGGGACAAAACCACGACATCTTCTGGACTACCCTCCAACGAAATGGATATGGAAAACCTGCCATGTAGATCGTTTTGACCGTGGATTTCCATATCCTTTTTTGGGCAATTTACGTCTGTGTCGGTGGTTGGTTTCCTACCCCTGATGCCGGAACAGAGGATGAGGTCCCTGAAGACGCTGGTTCCGAAGACAAGGTACAATAAGTCCCAGTTTTTGATGGTCGATAATATTGAATTTATTGGTCTTGGAATCCATGTTAAACATCCTAAATTGTTCTCCGTAAATCACCAGTTTTCAAAACCCAAAACATCTCAAAACCAATAAAATCCTCCAGTAATGGTGGCACACTCATGCCAAACTCTTGCGAACAACTCACCGGACATTCGCTCCGCTCCGCCTTCACGACGCAGCGGTAGAAGGTCCCGTCCGAAAAGAGCTGATGCGGCCGCGCGTATTCCCTAGCCGTCTCAAAGCGCCGTGTGACGTAGACGCCCGGCGCCCAGAATTCATGACCTGATGGAAGTCTTGGGGAAATGGTGATGAAATTCAAAGGAACTCCGTGATTACTGTAGATTCATCACGCCGTCATCCCCGTAATTACCAAATACAACAACTGGCAATTTTCCCCAAACAATGTGTCCACTGAGGGGTTCTTATGGTGGTAGGAGCTAACGGGCCGGGGTTAGATCAGGGTGCTCCATCTGTTCTGCGTTTTTTCACTGCAAATTCTCGCGTAAAAGTGTCCTTGTGAGATGTCCATGTGCATTTCGACTGCGCAGGCTCGCACAAGATGAACCCCGCGGTCATGGTTTGCGGCATTTTCATTGTAATTTCTCGCGTAAACAGTCCCGTGTGCGAAGTCCATGTCCATTTCGACTGCGCAAGCTGGCACAAAATGGGCGGCGCGATCAGGGTGCTCCATCTGGTCTGTAGCATGTCTGCTGGCATCCTCTAAGAGGTCCTCGCGTGATCTTGCACAAGTACTTGATTATGAGAAGATCTTCTGGAGATCCTGTTGAAATCCTCCCTAAGAGGTCCTTGCATGATCTTGTACAGGTCCTCAGCAGAAGATCTTGCTGAGATCCTGATGAAATCCTCTCTAAGAGGTCCTTACATGAAGATCTTGCAGATGCCATGTATTAGAGGTGCTTGTATGAAAGCTCTTCTGGGAGGCCCGGGAGGCTCTTGGCAGGTTCTTGTACCAATAGCAGCAGCAGGTCCTTGTATGACGATCTTGTGAAATTCTCTTAGGGATCATGGCATGAAGAAATTGGCCACGGTCTTTACAATTTCTTGTGAGAAGATCTTGTAGAGATCGTGATGAAATCCTCTAAGAGGTCTTTGCAATGCATGATCTTGTACAGGTCCTTGTGAGAAGATCTTGTGGAGAGCCTAGTGTAACCTTTGCATGTTCTCGTACATGTCCTTGCGAGAAGATCTTGAAGAGGTCCTGTTAAATCCTCCTCAAGAGGTCCTTTCATTGAGATCCTGGAGATGCTCCACATTGGTGTTTGCATGAAAGTTCTTCTGGGGTGCTCAACAGAAGTTCTTGCACGAAAATCTTCCAGGCAAGATCCTCTATGTAGATGGTTCTTCCTTCACGATCTTTTGAAATTATCTTAGATGTCCTGGTATGAGGATCTGGTATGGGGTTCTGATGAGTAGACATACGTAGCGTTGCTTCTTGTGCAAAACAAGTTCCTGCTGCAGCAGTTATGACAATGTCTAGCCTGACCTGTTACTGTTCCATAGCTACTGCTGCTTGTATCTGGTACGTTGACTTCCTACCCCCACACTGTTTGTGGGCTCTTGCCGGCGTAATATTTATTTTATATTAGTAACTGCAATTTACATCAGGTCGGGTTAATCTGGCAAACAGTACAAAATTAAATCTGGCATAATCCGGCGGAATTACAAAAACAGTACGACCTGAAAAGGTCGTCCATTTCTATAGTGGCCTTGTGATGGCCTCATTTTCGTTTACCCAGAGGTGTCAGGTGTCTAGTGATCACAATTATCATATCATTTAAAGTTTCATTTGGCTGGATTTGACGTTGGGAGAAGCGGACTACTCTGAGATAACAGCTGCCAACAAGTTGGGGATCCCAGCATTGGCACCACACAACCTCCCAAACCATCCGATGCGGCCTCTGCCCTCATTGGTGGATTCCAGGAAAATACCATGATGAAGGATGCTCCAAAGTCCATAGAACCAAGTGCCATGATATGCAGGTAGCCACCCAGATGTCTCAGCACTCACTGGTGCTGTCACATTTCTGTAGCTTCCCCAAAGGATCCGGACCCCAGCAGCGAGAGACAAGCGCATATCTGCAAAATCCGTTCCTGCAGCGTGGCACACGTCGTGATGGGATCCTATGGGTCTGGAGATGTCTGGAGGCAAATTATCTCAAGAAAACACCCGTGCAAATCTTGAAGTTGCTGTGCCTGTTGCTCAAAGAGTATTGCTGAAAGCCTGGGGAAATCTACGGTAAAAAGACGATGGTTCGTTGGTTCGTTCTTGATTGTCTCAAGCACCCTGCGGACGCGATTCTAAGCTTCTCATACAACCTGATGCAGATACGTGATGAAAGTTCCAACATGACTCTCTCTATGCAACACGGCCGTCTGTGATATCGGGGTCTCGTTATATCTCATAATTGCTGGTTCAATTCCCCATCGGTGCGTAAATGAGATACCCCGAGTCACTTCCATACATGATTTTCCCGAAAAGGAAATGGAGAACCGATGCTCACATGTAATTCCAGGAGTAATTCCCAAGCAGCAAATATTACGGTGCTACCACCCTCAAGGGAAGCTGCTCCTTTTCACAAGCAAAACTTCTCGAGTTGGGTGTAGTCACAACCACAATTCTACAAGATATTCTTGAAAATTCAAAGTGTTGAACCATCCACTTACCCACATCATCCCATCTCTGGTGGCCGCCAAGCATCGCTTCAACCGCCGCAAGGCAAAGCAGTCGAACAGACGGCGCGCCTTCAGCCACCCCTTGAGCTGTGCGAAGTTCACGCGGTGAACCTTGGGCCAGGCCTGCTTTCCTGAGGTCAAGCTACATGAGAGACCCCCTGGTCATACCATGGGAATCCCAAGTCACGGGGCATTGGTTCTGGGATTAATGCGAACTTATGGAACAATGTTTTGTCCTGCTTTGACTATGCCACAGGTCTGAAACCTGGAGCCCTAGCTGTTCATATCCCATAAATGAACTGCATATACACTAGTAATAGTATGGTCTGTCCGGGGAAGAACAATCAATCCAGTTCAAAATTGAGGTATTGGTTCATTGTTCATATTATAACTTCATGATGCGCCAGTACCCAGCTGCACGGGCGTTTTCAGGGCTGAAGACTTGGGAAGTCTTGGGGTACACCCGCCCAACACATCCAACAACCAATCTCAGCTGAAGTGAAGCTCAGCCTCCTTTCCCGCGAGCGAACTTCCTCCAGAGTAAAACCTTGTCTTTTCGACTTGCCTCTGCAGCAGCCACTGTTTTCCTTGGATCTGCAGGTTGTGGGAGCCAAACCTTGGGCTAAATCTGTAACAACGTGGCTTTTGCGGCACTGAAATTGGAATTTCTGAAGTGAAAAATGTTGAAAATCCTGGAAGATTACTTTACTTCGAGTGATCCCCACTGTGGCAATTGTTTGTCATAGTTCTCGGCCTCTCATCTAGTATACACATATGGCATATATTTTCTGACATTCTATTCAGGCATTCTATCTAACATTCTATTCTGACATTCTTTCCCTGGCATTCTATCTGGCATCTATTCTGACATCCTATCTGGCATCCTTTCTGGCATCTATTCTGACATTTTCTCTGGCATTCTATTTGGCATTCTTCCTGATATTCTATCTGGCATCTATTCTAACATTCTTTCTGGCACCTTTTCTGGCATTCTATCTGGCATCTATTCTGACACCATTCTTTTCTGCAATTTTATATATCTGGCATTCATTCTGGCATTCTTTAGTCTTTCTGGCATTCTTTCTGGCATTCTTTCTGGCAATCATTCTGGCATTCATTCTGGCATTCATTCTGGCATTCTTTCTGGCATTCATTCTGGCATTCATTATGGCATTCTTTCTGGCATTCATTCTGGCATTATTTCTGGCAGTCTACCTGGCATCTATTCTGACATTCTCTCTGGCATGGGCACTGCCCACTGACATCTGGCGCCCGGCAGTGCCCACTGAGATCTCGAGCTCGCGGTTGTGGTCTGGCAGTGCCGAGATCTGGAGCTCGCGGTTGAGGTCCGGCAGTGCCCACTGAGATCTGGAGCTCGCAGTTGAAGTCCGGCAGTGCCCACTGAGATCCGGCAGTGCCCACTAAGACCTGGAGCTCGCGGATGAGGTCCAACTCTGATAAAATCTACAGACTCTCACCAGGCACGTGGGGAATTATCTTCCTGGGTCTTGTGCAGGTTTGAAGGGGACAACCAAGCGGCTCAAATTTTCGTTTTCGGCTCCCACGCAAAGTGCCTGTCTCCAGCTTCCCACACACAACCTGGGCCAGGTGATGAGAGTCAGATTAACAAACACATCAAACACTCAAACACACAATAAGCCGTGAACATGCGTGAAATGATCATCAACATTGAATTAATATTTGGTTACCTGGCATTGCAACTTAAATCAAAAGATCAAACTGGTATTCCAAATCATGAAATGAAATCAGCTAAACAAAATGACTTCATGATCTTAAACTCACAACATGGAGCTCTTGGGATCCATTCCGCCTTGGACGCCTGCGACGTCTGCGAGGCTGGGCCCTGGTTCTTCCCAAGTTCTTCAACGATCGGGGTCCAAATCTCCATCTGTCCATGACTCAGGGCGCGAAGCAACAACCTCGGTACCGCCAATAACCAAGGATGAGGGCTCAACCAGCGAAGTCATCATAATGGCTCACGAAAAGAGGGTCCAAATGGATGGGTATATAAAAACTAAACAAGATATTATGGAAAGGCCAAATGGAGATTTACGGGATCAAATTGGCTATCAAAAATTGTTTGTCTTTTGTTCAGTTTTCTGTGTCTTAAATTTTGACCCATGCTATGCCGGCCCATATCCTCAACATTGATGGAAATCAGGTTAAAAAAACAAGTGCCTATGGATCAACCGGCAACTCTCGGGCCAAGCGAATTTCTTCATAGTTCAAGGGCCCAGTCGGTTTGGGCGTCAGCTCGCTCATGGCGCCAGAGAGGGCAACCAAAGGGGGATGGATAAAAAGTTAGCTTCCGGTAATCTACAATGGCAATGGAAAATCCATGAAAGCCCATTGTTTATCGAAGGAAGTTTAGAAGTCAAACTTCAGACAAGATGGAAAGATGGAAAAGCATAGGGGGGAAGAGCCAGAGAGGAGAAGAGAAGAAGAAAGAAGATCAGAGAAGAGAAAGAGACAGCGCAAAGAAAATGCAGGCGCGCGAAAAGGTAAAAAAAGTCACGCTTCACTCCGTTTTTCCACTGATTTGTGGCTCCGGAGGGTTGAAAAGTAGGCTCACTAAAGCGGCGGGAGCCATCTGGCCAGATGAGAGATGAAAAGTTGCACGCCGTTGTGGCGCGAAGCACATTTCGAAGTCAAAAGTGTAAAAAACTGACGGTCTCAGACCACTTTTGGAAGTGGCAATGTCGAAAAAGTACAAGCCGTGTGGCGCGACGCAAATTTCCAAGTCAAAATGTACAAGCACACCAGGGTCGGAGCACTTTTGGAAGTTGAGATGTCAAAAAAGTGTATGCCGTTGTGGCGCGAAGGAGATTTGGAAGTCAAAATCTGCAAAGCATTCCAGGTTCGGAGCACGTTCGGAAGTTGAGATGTTGAAAAAGTGCACGTCATTTTGGCGCGAAGCACTTTTCCAAGTCAAAAGGTTATAATCATCACATGCTCGGACCACTTTTGAAGGTTCAGGTGTGGTTCCACACCTTACTAAAAGTGAGCAAAACGTGAAGATTTTGTAGCATTTCCACAAATGATGGCAGGCGTGGGACATTTCAAGAGGATCTGCAAAGATGCATTTCGCGTGACAGGCGCAGAACAAGAGACATGTTCATTAGAGATGTTAGGAGTTCAGGGCGCTGATTTCGTGAGAAAGGTTGCATTTTGGAGCATCAGATCTTCAGTTTTGGAAAGATGATTTTGCGTGACGGGTGCAGCACTTCATATGACCTGGCATCACTTTTTCGTGGCAGGCGCAGTACTTTAGACAGGTGGAGTGCAAAAATCGCAAAACGCATTGGTACGAGGCCGTCAGCTCTGCACTCAACTTTCCGTTTTTGAAGGAAATCTCTAAGAATTGTTTCATTTTCGATGTTGTCAACTTCGAAAACTGAGGAAGTCTGGCAGAATTGTTTTGTTTTTGATGTTGTCAAGTTCAAAAATTGAGGAAGTCTCGCAGACTTGTTTCGTTTTCTAGCTTGCAGATAGACAGATAGCTAGATAGTCAACTGCAATGTAACTACAACTACAACTACAACTGCACTACACCACACTACATCCAGCAGTTGTGGTGAGGTGACCACCGCAACCATTGCAACCACTCCAGAAAACACAACTCCAACTACCTTTCGGTCCATCAGTGGATTCGCTCTGCCATCCGTGATTCACAGCAATGAACCTCTCCTATATAGGTTTTGAAACTATTTTTGAAACTTCCGCCAGTGTATTGCGCGGTACTACTGGTAGATATGTGTTTTCCCATTAGACTTTAAAAAGCTCTACTTGTCGGGGGAGTTCAATTTGAGACCACAGATTTTGATCAACGTCAGGATTGACCATCCAACTTTTATTGGCTGTTTTTGGCTGTTTAGGTTTTTTGAAATGGAAACCCAGAAAACTTGTAAGATCATACAATCGTAGGGGTCAAAAAATTGCGAAATGCAGCCAGATGCTCAAGGGCTAGAAACCAATCATCAAAAATCAAATGGATGAATTGGGAAACCGCTGAGCCCTAATTAACATTGCCAGCTGACAAGAAGTCTTGAGCCATTCACAAGCTACGACTTCTGGCATCACCTCTCAAGGGAATGATGGTAGGCATAGGCAATCTTCACACAATGACGGAGGGCCGCAGCTCGAAAGCAAGATGCAATGTCAAGGAAGTAAGAAACATGTTTTTTTTCTGCATCAAACAAGAGGATACCTCCGAGCAAGCCCAAGGGTCTGTCCAAGCAATTTTTCTTTCTCCGCATGTTTGCAGCTTGATGGTTGGTTGATGGTTCATAATTTTCTATTGTGTTCTTCTTCCCCTTGAGCAAACAGTTTTGGATTCCATCTACGAATGCCAACTCCATCTGGAATGATCCGCTAATGATCCGTTAATGCAAACTCCATCTGGCAATTTGTTGCTCACCACACAAATCCTATCCACTTGCTCCTGCCACGCAAAGCCAGTCCGACAGCATACGAAAGTCATAAATACCGGGGCCAAGGTAGCTTGTAATATGTCCAAATTTGGATGATGTGGATGCAACAGGACCCTTTCCTGCGAAGTGATGGCTCGCAACTTTCATCAAACGAACCTAAGGAGTCGTATACAATCACCAGTATCCCCATCCCCTCCATGCCCACAGTATGGACCTGCAAAATCAACAGTTCCAGCCCCAAACCGCACTAATTCACACACTAAACCACCGTTTTCAGTGGTGTCAGACGTGTCAATGGTGAAGTTGTTCCATACTCTTAGTGTTATCCCCGTTCTCAATGATACCCCCATGATCTTCTAATCCACATTGGTTTCATCCTGAATTTGCTTGAAAAAATGCTGGAACAAATGATCCAAAAGTGCCGCTGGGTTTGGTCCACGACGTCCCATTTTTTTGGCTCGTCCCTGGCGCACTGCGAAGCCTTGCTTGGCCTTGCTCGGCGTCATGAAACCGTCACTTCCTCCCCGCGTAGCTGTCGGAGGTTTCGATGTCCAAAATGCCTAGCAGCTCCTGGGGTGTTTTCCCAATGAGTAACTGGTAATGCATATGTCCCACAAAATGAAACATACCAGCAACACACACACACACACATATATATATATATATATATAGCCAAAGATGAAATTCTGACCCATACTCACATGAGTTACTCGAATTTAAATTTATGATAAAATCACAGAGTAATCCTTTTGATGGAGATTCCCAACACACAAAGGGTAGTGCACCTTCCGGAACTAATATTCAACCGCCTAGGTTTTTTTGGGATCGTCATCAAAAATTGAAACGCCCAAAAACCATTGAAATTGGATAATTTTGAATGTTTCATCATATTTTCCTCCCGTCTCCCGTGCATGGAAGTAGCAATTTTTGAGGCTGCCAGGGTAGCGCATTGGAGTTTGATATTCAGGTCTGACTCCGCAACCCCGCCTACTTTTTCTGTTAAAAGCACTTTCGCATAGAATCTGCAAAAACAAAAAAACCCGACCAAAACGCCCCGCAAACATCCCGCAAAAATTCGCAAAACACTCGCAAAAACCCGCAAACGCCCGCAAATCCAGAAAAAAATGTTTTTGGTTTGTGTTTACAAGTAGCTAGTTCCGTAGTATTTTTTTCAAGGCATCGAAATTATCAGGTAGACAGTATAGCAGTTAGAAATCGCACCCACGTAAAAACAGGAGTGACCTGGATTTGAGGTAGAACCAATGGAAGGCCAGACGCATCGCCTATTTTCCTATCAAGTTCGTATGTGTTTTTTGTGAAACGCCTGGTTTTCGAAGAACCGACCAAACAAAATAGTAGCGACACAAACGACCAAAATATATTGGAGTATGAATTTCGAGGTGTATATATATATATATATATCCATATATATATATATATCCATATATATATATACGTGTATGTCCATAACTACATCATTCCATCAGCATTGTTCTTTTTTTGGTAGGGCATATATATATATGTATATGTATATTTATATACATATATATTATGTCCAGACAATCAGACATGCATCCTTCCATCACCATCTCCCATCCGCCCCATCTCCTTGGCTTTGGGCAATTTGATCCGAGTAATGCCTTCAGTTCGCCCTTGGCTCAGGATCTCTTCCAAGACGTCGCATGCATGCTGCGCCGGCACGTTTTCCCGTGTGCCCAGTGTCAGGTGCGGAATCTGGCCGGCGCATGGCACGCCTGGCAGCAGGGCCATAGCTCTGCCATGGTCAAGTTGCGTGGGTTCATATGTGGTGTGGTCATCTATCCCATGCCATGGGAAGCCAAACATACCAGTAGTACCGCACAAGGCGGTGGCGGAAGTTCAAAGATAGGACACTATAGGAGAGGTGAGTTGTTGTGGATGGCAGAGCGAATCCACTGATGGGCCGAAAGGTGGTTGGAGTTGTGTTTTTTGGAATGGTCGCAGTGGTTGCGGTGGTCACCTCACCCACAACTGCTAGATGTAGTGTGGTGTAGCGCAGCTGTAGCTGAAGCTGTAGTGTAGTGTAATTAGTGTAGTGTAGTTGCAGTTGTAGTTGTGGTGTGGTGTAGTGTAGTTTAATGTAATGTGGTGTAGCGTAGTGTGCTGTAGTGTTGTGTGCAGTAACGTAGTCTAGTGTGACGTATAGTGTAGTGTAGTGTAGTATAGTGTTGTGTAGTGTAGTGTAAAGTAGTGTAGTTGCAGATGTAGCTGCAGTTGTAGCTGTAGTTGTTAGTGCAGCGTAGTGTAGTGTAATTAGTGTAGTGTAGTGTAGATGAGTGTAGTTGTAGTTGTAGTGTGGTGTAATTAGTGTAGGGTAGTGTTGTGTAAAGTAGTGTAGTTGTAGTTGAAGTTGAACTCTAGTGTAGTGTAGCGTAGCGAAATGTAATTAGTGTAGTGTAGTGTAATGTAGTGTAGTTGCAATTGTAGCTGTAGCTGTATTAGTAATAGTAGTTGTAGTTGTAGTTATAGTTGTAGTGTAATTAGTGTAGTGTAGTGTAATTGGTGTAGTATAGTGTTATTAGTGTACTGTAGCGTAGCGCGTTTGCATTTGTAGTTGTGGTGGTAGTGTAGTTTAGTTGCCGTTGCAGCTGTAGTTGTAGTTGTCTACCTATCTATCTATCTATCTATCTGTCTATCTATCTATCTATCTACCTATCTATCTATATTTATCATTATGTATCTATCTGTCTATCTACAAGCTTGAAAACGAAGCTATTCTGCGAGAATTCCTCAATTTTTGAACTTGACAACATCAGAAGCGCAGCAATTCTGCGAGACTTCCTCAATTTTTGAACTTGACAAAGTCAGAAAGGAAGCAATTCTGCGAGACGTCGTCATTCTATTCTAGTTGACAACATCAAAACATTCAAAAACCGAGCAATTCTGCCAGACTTCCTTCAAAAATGGACAGTTGAGGGCAGAGCTGACGGCCTCGTGCAAATGCACTTTGCGATTTTTCCATTCCATCTGTTTAAAGTACTGCTCCTGCCACGAAAAAGTGAAGCCGGGTCATACGAAATGCTGCACCTGTCGCGCAAAATCATCTTAGCAAACCTGAAGATCTGATGCTCCAAAATGCAACCGGAGTCAACATCTCTGATGAACATGTCTCTTGTACTGCACATGCCACGCGAAATGCATCTTTGCAGATCCTCTTGAAATGTCACACACCTTCCATCGTTTGTGGAAATGCTACAAAACCCTTACGTTTTGCTCACTTTTGGCAGGGTGCAGAATCCCTTGCCCTGCGACGCAAAACGACGCTTCAACATCCAAAAGTGGCGCAAACATGTGGTGTTTTTAGCATTCTGTCTTCGAAACGTGCTTCGCGCCACAACAGCGTACACTTTTTGAACATCTCAACTTCCAAAAGAGCTCTTGACGTGGTGTGCTTTTTACATTTTGACTTGGAAATGTGCTTTGCGCCACAACGGCGTACACTTTTTCGACATCGCAACTTCCAAAAGTGTCCGAGCCCATCAGTTTTTAACACTTTTGACTTGGAAATGTGCTTTGCGCCACAACGGCGTAAACTTTTTCGACATCGCAACTTCCAAAAGTGCTCCGAATGTGAGGCGTTTTTTAGCTTCTTCACTTGCAAATGTGTTTGGCGCCACAACGGCGTTCAATTTGTCATCTCTCATCTCCCCAGATGGCTCCAAGCCCGCCGCTTTAGCGAGCCTACTTTTCGACCCTCCGGAGCCACAAATCACTCCTGGAGATTCAAAACCCTGGAAAAATCCCTAAGTTCTCGGTGTTTACCTGCTTTTCCCTGCAAATTATGGACTTGACGTCAAACACCAGAACTCCTAAAACTCCTTGCTTTTGGAAGGCAATACGATGTCCAGGGTGCTTTTTAAGGTCTGAGGGCTGAGTTGAGCAAAGTGAAGTTGCCAACGAAAACGTTGGAAATTACCAGCTGGCAAAAATCCCGCAAATATCCGCAAAACTCCTGCAAATATCCGCAAATCCCAAAATGACGGAGAGCTAACATTTTCTGATTCTCAGGGTTTGGGGATGGCCCCACTTGGCAGCGTCGCACTGTCAAATGACATGAAACACCTGAAATTCCTGACTGAAATCACTGGAACGCGGAAACTCCTGACTTTTTCCAGGAGAATGAATCTCCAGGTTGGAAAAGCACAGTGAATCGCGACTTTTCTACCTTTCCCGCACCTGCATCTTCTTTCTTCTGACTCTTTCTCTTCTCTGATCTTCTCTCTTCTTCTCTTCTCTTCTCTTCTCTTCTCTGGCTCTTCCCATCTCCGCTTTTCCATCTGTCCATATTGTCGGAAGTCCGACTTCTAAACTTCCTTCGAATATAGAATGTGGGAATAAATCCCGATGAAATTTGGATTGATGATCATCCCTTAATGTGGGCACATAGTAACCCCCAAAACGATGCAGAAATGGTGACAACAACCAAGTTCTAGTATATAGGGTGTTACTTTTCTATCATGTCGGGGTTGCTGCTATAATACGCCTGCAATAGCTGGGAGTTAGGGTAACGGATTTGTAATTTAGCTGGGGAGCCAAAACCAAAACCTACCGGAAAATCCCAAGCAACACATGGTAGGTGAAAATGAGGATTCCCAGTTCATGGAGTATGATAATCCCAACTTGATATACAGAAGAGAAAAACCCAAGAACCAATCATCGACCAACTGTTTTTTTGAAGCGGCTCAAGTGGGTTATACCCAGTGACATTCACACACAAGTTGAAGGTGGGTGGCCCTGCCTTGCGGAGTAGCGTGGTCAACCGAATAATATATATATATATACATATGCATTATATATATATAATCACACACACATATATATATATATATACAATTATATACATATATATATATACACACTATATCACTATATTGTATATATTATCCAATTGTTCAAGGTTGATACAAACCCCAAAGGGTAAAATTGTGATCTCAGATCTCTTACAAATTTTGACCACATTGATCATTGACATGACCGACGTGGGGAAGAAAAAGAGTACTCTTCAAGAAACCATCAGTGTCATGGCTAGTCACGGCTTCTTGTGCCAAAGAAGTTTCAGTGCTCTTACGCGCCACTTGGCAATGGGTCTAAATCACTTAAGAAACAAATGGATGGCCTGAGGCTCAACTTGATATCAACCGTAGGTTCTTGAGCCTCCAAGTTTGACCGCGTACAGTGGTGGGTTCCTCGTTTTCCGAATGATATAAAAAACAAGACAAGCACAGCAAAAAGGCCGCCTTTGGGGAGCTCCACCACGGCGCAGGCCACGTTTTCCTCGATGATGAACTCCGTCATCTTCACCGCCACCTGCTTCCCTTGAAGCTTCTCCAATGCCTCCAGAACGCTTTTATGACCACGATGTGATCAATGTTTTTGGAAAATGCATCTATATATAATGTATATTCATGTGTATACATACATATATGTACCTGGATTTTCGAAAGAACACAAATAATTGTCCGTTTGCAAGATTTCTGAAGGAGCTGGAAATGACTACTGTGGTCAATTTTGGATTTAATTTGATTTAATTTGTACCTTTTGGGCTGATCTTACTCTACTTTGCGTAAAAATGTGTCGGTTTTTCTGGGCGGAAATTCCCGGGAAAAGGTCGTAAATACCCGGGAAAAGTGCGGAAATACCCGGGCAAATTCATCATGACTCAAAAATGAAAACATGAAGGAAGTGGTGTTTTTTCTTGAAATGATCATTTTTATTTTGAAATGGGCAAATCTACAGAAAATTGATAGAAACCAAACCAAAATCTGCCCTGGAAATAAATTTGTAACCAATGAATATCCAGGTATATATATAATATATAAACACATATAAATGTATATTTAAATATAGAACAACAATTTTGTATGGATATGTAAATATACTTGTATATATGTAAATATATGTTGTTTATCTTCATGCATGTCTGCGTATAATGATGATACCAACCATAGACTTAATTTATAGGATCATCCCCATCTGGCGATCATGCCAAGAACCTAAGTGGCCCGAAATTGGATGTACCCTCCGTAACCAAACATGGCAATGGAAAATCCCTTACAAATGGAAGTGTTAAATTGAAAAGCATCTATAAAATGAGAGATTTTCCATTATATACCTTGTTTGATTGCCAAAGGGTGATTTCTTTGATTTTAAGCGGCCATGCTGTGACAGCGGAACCATTTATAGATACAGGAAATTCTAGGTTTTGACAGGATCTTCATTCCAGAAGTCCGTCACCGGATCTCCTTACGGAACCGTTGTTCTTCGCAAGTTTCAGCCGCAAACGCGTGGAAACAACACATTTTCAGACTCAAACGCTGTTCTTTGCAAGTTTCGGCCGCAAAGCCGTGAAAAAGACATTTTCAAGGTGAAAGGTTGTTTTTCCGAAGGTTCGGCCGCAAAGCCGTGAAAACGAGGAACTGGGAGATTCCAGCAGTTGAAGACCTACGAAACAGGAGTATACAAACCCAACAAAAATGGGGATAGCTGATGAAAGAATACGAGATGTGCACAAGGTTTTGTTAGGTGTTGAGCCATGCTCGCAACGCATTTATACCTGGGTATGGTGATTGGTCACGAATAGCCCCCTCACTTTATCTGAATCTTCATCCCACGCATATTCAGGTTATAGTTATGTGGTGGTTTGGGTTGGTGGTTTGGGTTGGTGGTTTGGAAGTCTGTTTTGTTTTGTGTGGATTTTGCAATGTGTCTGATTAGAGTCTGATTTTAGCAAGGCCAGGGTTTCAAGCGTGGATTTTGCGTAGTTTTATATCTGGGTTGATGTCAGCTTGATGACCGTATATGATATTTCCAAAATCGAAACTGCCAAGCAACGAAAACTCAGGGTAAATAAAAATCTGGAGGAGTTTGAATTTCCCAGCGCAGAAGCCAAAAGATACGTCCGCAAAGACAAATGACCTAGTGAAAACGACAAAACGCACAGGTATGCACAGGTGCTATTACAGATTTGTGTTTTGTTTACCGATCAGCGTACGATCGATTTACGATCGATTTGCGATCAATTTGAATCAAAGAGTCTGACAGTTTCCATGTAGTCCCCAAAAAGGTTTCGAACATGTTCCCTTTATCTATACACGTGGTGGTTGGCTCGGACGTCCGGGTAGGGCGCGCAACTTGGTGTCATTTCGTACTTCATTTTACAAGTCATTTGGCTTCCGCAGCCATTTCTACTGGCAAGCGCGGGAGATCGTCGCAGTGCCTTTTTGCATTGGTATTTGCAGTGAATAGGAGCCGCGTGCCTTAGAAGACGGTCTTGATGCTACGCTCTTGCAAACGTCATGTAACTTAGATGGCCCACCTGATTGACCAGTTATGACATAGCCAGATCCCACAAGTAGTTGCACCTTATAACTTCAGACATGGAGCCGGGCACTCAGTGATGATGATGATGATGATGATGCTGATGATGATGCTGATGCTGATGCTGATGCTGATGATGTGCTCGGATGGCGTCCTACCCTGACGTCCGAGCGTGGTGGTTGTATGGTGTCTTCTAACTGATGCAGTTCAGTTTTGCTGGAGGTTCCATGCAAGTTCCAGGGAGGTTACACACCAGTAAGCTAAATCAGTAAAGCCAGCACTTAACCAACATGAAATCTGCATGGGAATTATATGGAAAATCCATGAAACCTGAATCAGTCAGTCAGTCACAGTACAGGACAGGACCAAACTGCGATTGGGTTCAAGAAATTGTTTTTCCCCCGGATTCAATAAATACTATAGTTATACAAAGAATAACTTTTAATCAAGTAACAAAAATAATATATATTCAGTAACAAAGTATAAGCAATAAAGTGAAATTAAAGGAACTTAAATAAGTGTATTTTTCCGAGATGCGAGATGAATAGAATATTCAATAACAAAACTAATCTGGTAGCAATTATTGTTGTTTCAAATGTGTCTTCTGTATTTTCCGACGGTTTCATTTTTTACAGAATTCCATATTTTCCTAAGAATTCCATATTTTTCCTAAGTTCGGAAACTCAAAAAATCCCAGACTTCCAAACCAACACAAACCACCATGTAAGCACATTTTTTTCAATATGTCTCAACATGGTGGAATCATGAGAACGGGTTGGTGGGGAATTACATGGAATTACCACATGACTGTCCCAAGATTTTGGATGCTATCCAAATGATTGCAATATATTGCAATAACAAAAAGGACATCAATTGTGTGACAAACCTCGTATGATGAAGCCACTGTTGATTATCTTTGTTCAGTAATTCACAATTTAATGGTGCGATGGTGAAATTCCGTGTTTTTTTTCTGGTTGGATCCCGATTATTCCCGACGAAACTGTTGCTTACATCCACCATGTTTGTTGGTTGAATTTCCATAAATCCACCAACCATTGCTGGTTACTATGTTAGCATGCTTATATCAACTTATATCCAAGATTATGGCTTAGTATATTTCCCATTAAGGTAAGGTAAACCCCTGATACCTGAGAGATTCCAATCAGCTACCCTTCCGCCCAGCTTCCGGCTCGCACATTTTTGCCGGGTAAATCCTAAAAAACTCCCATACCCTAATTTGATGCGAAAAAAACGCGTATGTTGCATGTGTTTCCCAAAATATAGCAACTCCCAAAAGGATAAACAGTAAAATCCCACTGAAATAGTGGGACAATGTCTTTTGCATCTATTTGGGAATGACCAAAAAAGGGTTGCCATATGTTGCCATGTAAATTTAACAATTTCATATTTCCCATATATGTCCCACCTGCAGGAAGTAAATCCTTCCTCTGATTGGTGGTGTCAAACCCACAAAATGTTTGGGCATTGGGATCATCATCTCAGTCATAGCCTTGAAGATGCAACAAATACAAGCCATTTAAAGTCCACTCCACTTAGTAGCTGGCGTTAGTAAGCCCCCCTTTCGTGGGGTTATCCCATATACAACTGGCTTATAACCCCATTTGCTGAGTTATAATGATCTGTGGGATGATCCGCTAAGTAGTTCCCATACATGTCTTATATATTTCCCATCTACAAAAAGTAAATCCCTTCTAGTTCCCCCCAGCCTGCTTGGCGATTCGAAACTGCAGCAGCGTCATGCCGCAACGGCTTGCCGCGCGGTGTTCTGGCAGGTGGCCACGCAGGTAGAGCAGGGCCACGTAAGGCTTCACCTGGGACGTGTGGGTCACGTGTTCGACGTGTTGGTAGTTCAGCATGAAAGGTGGAAACTTCATGAGATTTCACCATCAAAACACATGATTTCACTATGCAAAAAAAAGGTGGGAGAATTGGGATTGTATAGGGGTACGATCAAAAGGGCGGATTTCACCATGCAAAACCCGGCGGATGGATGTTCCATCATTAGATTACCAAGGGATAGAACTCATCTGATTAGCCATCGAATCATGATATAAATCACCTGATCTGCAAAATATGTAAGAATGATACAGAATGAAGGTTGTAAAAACTGGGTTCAACATGTTAGTTTCAGGTGGGTACTGTAGGGTCCCACTCCAGTGCTGCAGTTGAGAGGCCACGGGTAGAAAGTTGCTGGGGAGCACGCCAGGTTGCGAGAGCACCTTCAACACCTGCAAAGAGGGACCGAAGATCTCTTTGGAAATCGGAAAAGCCAAATTCTCTTTGTCATGTGTGGGCGTATACACACACACACACATCGCATTTACATATATATATATATACACACTATTATATTATGATTATCACATCACTGTTTTTTATATAAGTATAAGTATAATTATTAATTATTCAAAATGTCGAGGTTTCAAAAACAAATTACTATATATGCTGATTCTTATTCTTATGATTGTTACTTACCATTAAACCTAGTATCGGTATTATAATCACATGACAATATTACATAATATTACATGTATTCCCTTTTGATATTGCTTGCGTGTGTGTGTCATGTCATGTGTTCACCCCTGCTTTGTAGATGTACACTGTGTACTACAGAACCATATGGATCCATACCATAATGATTCATAATGTATATTTTCATACCAAACTTTACCAGGCCTAGCTGCCTAGCTCAACTTTCCGACAAACCGCCATCGTTCCTTGATTCGGGGGGTCATAATCTGATCTTTTCTGCAGATATACCCAGGTGGCAATGTGACAGTGCCTTGCTCCCCGGCCATCCAACAGCCCCCCCTTGGGCCTCCGGCAGATCCACCCGCCAGAACAACGGCACTGCCTCCGCGTCGACCTCCGCCTCCACAGGCGCCTCTGGCACCGCGACCTCCAGCGGCGCGGCTGCAAGGCGCTCCGTCGCGGTTGGGACCTGGAAGACCCGGGCCCAACCCCTCACAACACCTGGAGAGTCCTGGCTGATCCATGACATTTATGGATATTTATGGTGCTTCCTTGAAGCGCAGCAGTAGGTCATTAGGCTGATTTTGATTGGCTGAATCAGCTCCACATGCCGGATCAAACAGGTTGGGTTTCACACATGTCCACTTACAAGTCTCGTGTCAGTCACCATTCCCACAATTGTTCCAACGATTCCACTGCCTTTCAAGAAACGCCCAAATCAACCGCACAATGTTTCCCGGATTCCCAGAACCTCATCATCCAACAAGCCCTCTAACCTTCACCAATCATAAAAGCTGTCAACCAAGAAACAATACCATATGGAATCACTTCCAGTTCCTTGGCCACGGTTGGCTGGGGATCTCAAGAGGTTTGCATCTAACAAACGCGACCAACCTGATCTTGGCACTGGAAGCAATCTAACCTGGCTCACCATTTCTCTCACTAGGAATTTGTCATAATCAATCCACAAACGGAGGATTCCCATTCCATCCCATTCTCATGTCAGATTGTCACATAAGGTAACCATAGAAATCTCATGAATACTTCAAATCCCTCAGCAATGTTGCAAAAGGTCAAGGTGCATCTTGCCAATCTTCAAAGCGTTCCTCCCCTTTCATTGGGGGATCGTTCGCGCAGAAGAAGACTCCTTCAATGACCACTGCGCAACTTGGAACCACCACCTCAACGGGGCAACGGCTGGACCCAAATTCATATCATTTGATCTCTGCCAATAACCCACAGGATCCATGTATGGTATACATGCTAACCCCGGCAAAGTTGCAAACAGGGTTGGGATACGTGGAGATGCCCAGCCAAGAAAAAACCACCAAAATAATCCATGAACACGCCTTCCATCCGTTGTACCTGGTGCTTCCTTTTTGGATCCTTTGGATTTCCACAAGCAGCGCTACAAACAATACCAAGTGCACCCACAACCGCATAGCCCAGTCACCTGATCTCCACCCTTGGATTTTTGTTTCCGCACTTCTTGAGGGTCATACCGAACCTGCCCAGTAGGGCCAGTAGGACAGCTAGGGCCTGGATATGGTCCTGTAATGTCCTGTGTCACTGTACCTATACCAGGAGTAGCTGTACATTCTGACACTCGGGAATTGCGCGCAACTCAACTCGGAAAACCTGAACACTGCATTGGCACTGCCGATTCTATGGATTGTCAGTTCGTCGTCACGCTCTGATGGAGTCAGATGTTTGCAAAACAAAATATGTTCAATGACTCGTTGATATTGAAATGGTAGGAGAGGCACCCCATCTTAGGTAGCCCCATTGGTGGTATACGATGACAAACCATGCGATTTGGGGTTCTAAACTTATGGGGGAATCATGCTGTATACATGTTTGAGGTACGGTATATATATATATATATCATGAGGTGTTTACCCCGATGTTTGGGACAACACCACGACATCTTCTGGATTACCCTCCGCTGCAATTGATAGATAATGGAAAACCTGCCATGTAGATCATTTTTCGAATGGTAAATGACCCTGGATGTCCATAAAATTTATCCCGGTAATTTATATTACAAGGTACGGTAAGCCATGTGACTTAATTCTTCCTACAATGTACAACACCATTATTTAAGTCAGATTGTATTGATAATGATAAAACCATATAAAACCGATAAAAGCCCACCATGTCCGATGACCCATGCCAAGTCTTGCGAAGATTTCACCGCCACATTCGCTCCCGCGGCCCGCCTTCACGACGCAGCGGTAGAAGGTCCCATCCGAAAAGAGCTGATGCGGCCGCGCGTATTCCCTGGCTGTCTCGAAGCGCCGTGTGACGTAGACGCCCGGTGTTGAGAATTCATGACCTGACGTGGCGTTTCGCGTGTGGCATGATAGGGGAAACATTTTGGGGAACATTTTGGGGAAAACAAGGGAAATCCTATATCATTATTGACCAATCATGACCAAATACTGTAGTTGGCGATGTTGATTAAGATTAAGAATTAGTACTTGACATTTTAAACACATTACATCATTACATCAGATCATATTAATATTATATGAATCTGGCGAAAGAGTGCTAATCACTAAAGTACAAAATTCAATAAACATCATCTGGTGGAACTAACCTGAAAAGGTCGGCCATGTCTAATGAATATTCTAATGACCTCTTTTTGTGTCGGCCATTCGAATGAACCCAGAAGTGTCTAGTGATCACATCGGATCTTTTTCAGTTCACCACTAAGGAATCCGACATTGATATATGTCTTTAAAGGAATCCGGTACACAAACCCGGTTTTTATTACCCATAGGATCCATGTATGCTATATATGGTAACATTTACCATCAATATACCCCAAATGTTAGCATATATACCATACATGGATCCTATGGGTTATATGTTTTTATTTGGCCGGATTTGATCTTGGGAGAAATGTTCTACTCTGGGATAGATGCCAACAACTTCAGGATCCCAGGCATCGGCACGACACCACTGATGCCGCCTCTACCTTCATCGGTGGATTCAAGGAAAATGCCATGATGAAGGATGCTCCAGAGTCCATAGAACCAAGTGCCATGATATGCAGGTAGCCACCCAGATGTCTCAGCACTCACTGGTGCTGTCACATTTCTGTAGCTTCCCCAAAGGATCTGGACCCCCGCAGGAAGGTGCATCTCTGCAAGGTCCGTTCCTGCAGCGTGGCTGTGCGTTTTGCTCAAAGAGCTGTGTGTATACAGCCTGAAATCTGAAGAAACATGGCTAAACATCTCGGTGATTTCAAACATCCAAGAGACCAAAATCCTGAGGACGCGATTTCTTAAATGCCCCAAACTACTCATATATAATCTCATGCAAATATGTGATGAAAGTTCCAACATGCCTGTGCTGCATCTAAGTGGTGGTCCTCCATGCAACACGGCCGGGACCTCCGAAAATATCTCATAGTTGCTGGTTCTATCCCCCATTGGTCCCATTGGTGCGTAAGAGATATCAGAGATACCTCATATCACTTCCATAATGTTCCACCAAAGATGGCGAACCTAGGTTCACCTGTAGTTTCACTTTGATCCCAAGCAAAACTTCCTGAGTCGGGTGTGGTCACACAATAAAACCCCATCTATGGCACAAGTCAAACATGGGGTAGCAAAGCGACCCACAAATTTGATCATTCTAAGATATTCTTAAAATTCAAAGTATCTAACTTTAAACTCTAAACATCTTACCCTCTGGTAAACTAACATACCTAGTGAAAATGGCCATTTATAGTGGATTTTCCCATTAAACATGGTGATTTTCCATATAGTTATGTTAAATTACCAGAGGGTAAACAATCGACTTACCCACATCATCCCGTCTCTGGTGGCCAGTTTTGCTCATCTCAGTGCCAAGCAACGCTTCAAGCCCTGCAAGGCAAAGCGGTCGGACAAACGGCGCGCCTTCAGCCAGCCATTGAGCTGTGCGAAGTTCACGCAGTGGACCTTGGGCCAGGCCTGCTTTCCTGAGCGGGTCAAGCTGTGCAATGAGGTCTGGGAAGGCCATGACGCCGTGGGAATCCCAATTCATGGCCATAGCATGCGGGCCAAAGCCCTGTTGGTTCGCGGATTAATGCAAACATATGGAAAATAGAAGCATGTTTTGTCATGCTTCGACCATGTCACATGGCGATGGGTCAAAATTCTAGCCTCAAGCCTTCATATCCCATGAATTGCATATCGAATGGTCTGTCTGGGGAAGAACAATCCAAAGTTGAGAATACCCAGCTCGTGATGAGTCACCACCCAGCTGAACGATCCCAACAGCTGTTTCCCGGAAAAAACATGGACAACCAATCGCCCAACACATCCAACCCCCCAACCTCTAAAGTGAAGCGTCCTTTCCCACGGGCGAACTTCCTCCAGAGTAAAACCTTGTCTTTTCGACTTGCCTCTGCAGCAGCCACTGTTTTCCTTGGAGGTCGGTTTGGGAGGAGCACCAAACCTTGGGCGCTAAATCTGTAACAACGTAATTTTGCGGCACTAAAGCTGGAATTTCTGAAGGGGAAAAAAACCTGAGATGTTTTGAAGACGTTCTTTCTGGGTCTTCTGCAGGTGCTTCAGGGACCAACCGAGCGGCTCAAATTTTCGTTTCCGGCTCGCAAAGTGCCCCTCTCGAGCTTCCAACACACCGCCTGGGCCGGGTGAGATTAATAAACGCACCATTTGCCATGAACAGGCATTGAAGGATCACCAATATTGAATTAATATGCTGAATTATCCGACATTGCAACTTTTATATATACATGCTATATATAATGTAATACATATTCTCAATATCACATGATAATACTGGTACTCCAAATGAAGGAGTAAAGGAATTACTGATCACTCATACCAAGGCGCTCTGGGAATCCATCCGGACGCGTTGGACATCTGCGAGGCTTGGCCCTGGTTCTTCCCAAGTGCTTCAACGATGGTCCAGATCTCCATCTGTCTCACCCATCGGACGCATCATTCATGGATAAATGGATATATAATAAATATTACAGGGATATATATAACCCATAGGATCCATGTATGGTATACATATATATATATATATACATGCTAACATTGGGAGTAATTATATATTGATGGTACATGTTACCATATATATATATATAGCATACATGGATCCTATGGGTAATGGAAAGGAAAGGCCAAAAAGATGTTTTTTTGGGATGAAATCGGCTTTCATAGACCCAATTATGTCTGTAATTTTGACCCATACCATACCGACGGCCCGGGTGTCAGCTAGCTTCCAGTGAGCAAACATGGCAATAGAAAATCTATGGACAATCCTGACAATCCACCATTGTGTATATCTTATATATATATATATCTTATATTATATATATATATTATACTGATATATAACCTCCATTTATATATATATATATAGGGGGTTCCGATTTGAGACAACATATTTTGAGTCAGGACCATCCAACTTTTGCGGATCCGAGTCTTGACCCATAATGGCTGTTATTGGTTGTTCTGGTTTTTAAGTGGAAACCCAAAAGACCTGCCAGATCATGCAATCTTAGGGGTCAAGAATTTGTGAAATGCAGCCAGATGCTCAAGGGCTAGAAATCAATCATCAAAATCAAACTCATGAATTGGGAAACCGCTGAGCCCTACTTAACGTTGAGATGCTTGCCCGGCTGACAACAAGTCTTGAGCCATTCACAAGCTACGACTTCTGGACGGCTCCAGGCCATCCCTCTCTGCGAAATCTCGGCAGATGGCAGTTTTTCTTTGGATTCCATCTACGGTACATGATCCGTTAACTGCAAACTCCATTCTGGAAATTTGTTGATGCTCACCACACAAATCCTATCCACTTGCTCCTGCCACGCAAAGCCAGTCCAACAGCATACGAAAGTCATAAATACCGGGGTCAAGGTAGCTTGTAATTTGTCCAAATTTGGATGATGTGGATGCAACAAGACCCTTTCCTGCGAAGTGATGGCTCGCAACTTTCATCAAACGAACCAAAGGAGTTGTATACAATCACCAGTATCGCCATCCCCTCCATGCCCACCGTATGGACCTGCAAAATCAACAGTTCCAGCCCCAAACCGCACTAATTCACACTAAACCACCGTTTTCAGTGGTGTCAGACGTGTCAATGATGAATTTGATCCCTACTCTTAGTGTTATCCCCGTTCTCAATGATACCCCCATGATCTTCTAATCCACATTGGTTTCATCCTGAATTTGCTTGAAAAAATGCTGGAACAGATGATCCTTAAAAGTACTGCTGGTTTTATGGTCCACGTCGTGGCATTTTTTTGGCTCGTCCCTGGCGTCACTTCCTTCCTGCGTAGCTGTCGGAGGTCTCGAGGTCCAAAACACCTCGCAGCTCCTCCGGTCATGCCATGAGGTGGCGCGTTTTCCCAATGAGGCACTGCTAATGCTATCAACATGAGACATACCAGCAACATATATAAGATCTAGCCAAAGGTAAAAAAGTGTGGCCCATACTCAAATGAACAGCTAAACTCAAACCCATTAGCAAAACGTTAAAAAACAAACATTATTTTTGGATGGAGATTCCCAATACATAAAGGGCAGTGCCACTCCCGAACTAATATTCAACCAACTGGGGTCACTAGGTTTTTTGAAATTGCTAAGTTTTGGATGAAGATGATCTGCATGGTATAGATATAATTTATAGACAGAGCTGTGTCTATGTGGTGATATGTTGTATATGTGAGACTTAAGAGAAACCGTGGAATAGCCTGAATGTGTGGTGTTCCAAAACCTATTTTTACCAATTCAGAATGTTGGATGAGGTTGCATCTCCATAAATAAAAATAAGATCCGTCCAAACCCATTACCCTCTGGTAAACTAACATAGCCATTGAAAATCACATGTTTTTTAATGGGAAAATCCACTATAAATCACCATTTTCAATAGCTATGTTAAATTACCGGAGGGTAGTGGGACAACATCTAAAGAAAAACTGCAGATCAACCTCCAACCGTGACAAAATACGAGAACGCCTTAAGGTGTCAGCCCCGTCAAGAAAAAACACCATTTTCCACGGGGTCGGGGCATCTTGCACTTCCATTGTTCTTTTTTTTGGTAGGGCATATATATATATATATTATATATATATATAGACAGAGAGAGATTTATATTATGTCCAGACAATCAGACATGCATCCTTCCATCACCATCTCCCATCCGCCCCATCTCCTTGGCTTTGGGCAATTTGATCCGGGTAATGCCTTCAGTTCGCCCTTGGCTCACGATGTCTTCCAAGATGTCGTTGGCATGCCGCGCCGGCACGTTTTCCCGGGTGCCCAGTGTCAGGTGGGGAATCTTGCTGGCGCATGGCACGCCTGGCAGCAGGGCCATAGCTTTGCATTGTCAAGTTAGGTGGGTTCATATGTGGTAATTGTGGTCATCCATCCCATACAATTGTAAGCCGAACACAGCCATACCCAAACAGCTATATAATATGCAATAGGCGAATAAATCCCAATGAAAATTGGATTGATGACCATCCCGTAATGTGGGCACATAGTAACCCCGAAAACGATGCAGAAATGGTGACACTGACACCCAATTTCTGGCATATAACCCCAAAGACCAGAACACCATACACCAAACCCCAAACACATGAACGCCAGACCCCAGACCCCAAACCTGGAATTTCAGTTCCCCTTACCTTCTAGTGGGCAAGGTCCCACTTTATAGTTCGATATATATCTAGCAGAAACCATCAAATTCACCTAGTTATGTTCACCAACTTAGACTAAATCAGCTAGAAATCAGCTAGAAATACCATGAAGTCCTCATGTTTCTTAGTTTTTGTTCGGTTAAATCCACCATTTTCCCATGGTTTTCCCCATGGTTTTCACAGACACGCCGCCTTTGGGGAGCTCCACCAGGGCGCAGGCCACGTTTTCCTCGATGATGATCTCGGTCATCTTCACCGCCACCTGCTTCCCTTGGAGCTTCTCCAATGCCTGCCATGTGGCTATGAATCAAAACCCTGGGACCCTGGGTACCCCAAAATAGCTGGTTAATGGATGGTTATTCCCCTAGTCATGTGGAAATGATAGGTTTTGACCCATCCCCATGTGATGAATCTATCGAAACCTTCGTTAAATGACTTACTAGTGCTAAACGTAGGGAATTTTCGGGAATGATCCACTGGCTAACTATCAATAATCATCCCAGCAACCCCCATTCCCATCCATTCCCTAATAAGCACCAGTAAAATGAATGTTGAACTAACCATGATGAAAACCATGATTTGATACATGATTATCATCATTAAATGAATAATTTAAAAACATATGTTTGTTAAGATAGCGTTAATCAAAACAATATGCATTAAGACATTATGGAAATAATGTTTAATGATCAATGGTTAATGATCCTCTGGTAATTTAAGGTAGCGAACTGAAAAAACTTCATTTTGAATATAGGTACGAATAATTATATAAAGAACCATCCATCATCTATAAATTGGCCATTGTCCATACCTATGTTAAATAACTATATGATGTATATTCATGTAGATGTATAGATATATATATATAGAAAAACTAATTGTGTATACATATGTATATTGCTAGGATATGTGTAAAAATAAATAATATATATATATTGTTTATCTTCATACATGCTTGCGTACAATAATGATATCAACCGTAGTTGTTGATTTTTGTAGGATCATCCCCATCTGGCCATGCCAAGAACCTAAGTGGCCCGAAATTGGATGTACCCTCCGGTGTCATCAAACATGGCTTGCTGGAAAATCCCTTACAAATGGAAATGTTAAATTGAAAAGCATCTATAAAAAAGGGACTTCCCATTGCCTTGTTTGATTACACTGTTGCGGGTGACTTCCATGACTTCAAGCGGCCATGCTGTGACAGGATCTTCATTCCAGAAGTCCAAACTGCTTAGGAACTGGGGAGATTCCAGCAGTTCAAGACCTACAAAACAGGAGTATGAAAACCCAACAGGTGATGAAACAATAAGAGATGTGTAAAAGGCTTAATCTTTCTGGTGCTTAGTAGGGAATGGATGGGAATGGGGGTTGCTGGGATGATAATTACTAGTGATTATGGATCATTCCCTCATTCCCCGCTAAGCACTATATTATATTAGTTGTGGTGGTTGCATTTTTCCATTATGATTGTTCTTTTTTCCAGTTTTCCATGTGAACACACAACACAAAAGTAAGTAGTTAATTGTTGACCCGCACACCCTCATGGCTATGGTGATATGGTCGCGAATAAACCTCGTGGGAATCCTGAGAGCCGGGGAATCACCACACGATTGTCGAATTTAGACACTATATCCACGTCAATGATTACAAAGAATCGCCATCATTATTTGGTGACAAATAAATAAATAAATATATATATATATATATCTTTGTATATATATATATACAGTATACTGTTGTATAATTCACAAGTCGCAGATGAAACCAGGTTTGATCGTGCAATGAATGCTGGACGAATCCTCCTCGTTGCGAAATCTTCATTTTGGATGTTGAAATTTGCATGTCTCGTGGTTGGCAAATCCTCAATCCACCCATCATCTCCCCCATTATATGCCCATTATATATATATATATATATTGGTTGGTGGTATTCCTACCCCTCTGAAAAATATGAAAGTCAGTTGGGATGATGACATTCCCAATATCTGGAAGAATAAAGGCCATGTTCCAAACATTCCAAACCACCAACCAGTACATATATATATATATGTCAGATATAAAAGCCAATAAAATTGCTTAGATCCCCATCATATCTTTCGACATCCAGTAGAATCACCCCCATGATACCAAGCATATCTGGTTATGTATGCTTCTATCCCAGATAATGAATAATGTATATATATATAAATGTGTGTAATATTATATTATATTATATCATATTATGTTTTTTTATATTGTATTATATTACTATAAGTGTAGCTACCCTGTTTATCATTATTATTTATATTATCATTGATTATTATTGTTATTATTGTTATTATTGTTATATTATTATTATATTATAGATTATTCCTAATTATAATTGTTATATTCCCATTGGGGGTAAATCCCTCCTCTGATTGGTGCTTGTCAACGGGAATCATCATCGCAGTCATAGGCTTGAAAAAAAGAGAACCTGTAAAAGTCTACCCCAGTTAGTATCCGGTGTTAGTAAGTCCCCATTTCGAGGGTTATCCCATATACAATCCCATAGGATCCATGTATGGTATATATGCTAACATTGGGGGTATATTGATGATAAATGTCACCATATATAGCATACATGGATCCTATGGGAATTGTAACTTATATAACTTAGAACCCCCCCTTCTTCCTATTACAAGTACTAAATGTACCCCACATGTAAAAAAATTGGGGTCCGTTTTCAATTTTGGGAAATTTGGTGTTGGCCAATTCGATTCCCAAGATCCACTTTTGAAAGCGACTTAAAAGTAAAGGCCACATTGGAAGGTTTCACCCCTTTATTAAAAAAAAACTAGTCAACACCGGGGTGTTTTCTATTAGGGTCCGTCCTTTGAAATCGAACATTTTAGTTTTCTTTATTAAAGTATTGAATTGAAAATTAGGGAACCTTCGAAAACTATTTTTTGGCAATATTTCATATTTAAAAAGGGTTTAGTCCATTTTGAAATAGAACAGCTTAGTTGCTTTTATTGAAGTTTTCAATTTAACATTAGGGGAACCTTAGAGATCTACTTTTTGGTAATATATTAATTAGATTCTAGAAGGGAATTTAATTGAGTTTGAAGTGGACAATATTGTTTTTTGATTTATATTGAGGCTTTACGTATTAGGGGGAAGCTTCGCACCCTAATAATATCTAATAATTACTAAATAATTACCTGCTAAAAACTCTTCCGGGTGTTTATTATTGGGGGGGACTTAGTATTAGGGAACATTACCAACCAGCTAGAGTCCACCAGATGATCCTCGAAGTTCCCCCCCGGCCCCATCCGGCCCCATCCGGCCCCGCAAACCTGCTTGGCACTTCGAAACTGCTGCAGCGTCATGCCGCAACGGCTGGCCGCGCGGTGTTCCGGCAGGTCGCCACCCAGGTAGAGCAGCGTCACGTGGGGCTTCACCTGAGACGGGTCACGTGTTGGACGCGTGGGTCACGTGTTGGGAAGCCATGGAAAGCTGTCAAAATAAGGCCTTCACTATGCAAACAGATTTCACAATCACAAGGGCGGATTTCACCATGCAAAACACGGGGGATGTTCCAGCACTAACATATTAAATGCAAATAATTATAATTAAGTGGACAGAACTTATTTGATTTTACATTGATTATACAATTATGATAATGTTATGTTTAGTTACCTGATCAGCAAACATGAAGGTCGATGATGGGGATATCATGGGGAAAACTCTGTTGATGTTGCTTACATAGGAATATAGTCGTTGGGGTGATTTGTTAGGCACCATCCATCTGTTTCGCAATATAGTTGGTTATATATATATATATATAATATTATATAATAATAGATACAGGAATATAATGGGAATATACTGGGAATCATATATGATATATTTGGGATTCTTAATATAATGGGATACTTCCTGGGATTTCCTCATCGTGGATCTTTTTGATAATGGCGACTTGGAGGGGATACTGTATGCAGTAATTCTCCAAGATCTTGTACGTAATTTTGGGGATATTCCGAGAATTAAAGGATATAATTGGGATACAATGGGGATACCAATACTGTCCACAATGTGAAAACCTTGGGTGTCTCAGAAATCCAATGGCAATTTTTTCATGGGGGATTGGGGGGACCAACCATCAGTCCCCACATCTGGTCTGAGTCGCCGTCAAAAAGAAATAGTGATACTGTGGGAATCATCATCCCAAACAGTGTCTAAAATAAAAAACATTTGATGCTACAGTAGGGTCCCAGTACCTCCAGTGCTGCAGTTGAGACGCCACGGGTAGAAAGTTGCTGGGGAGCACGCCCCGTTGCGAGAGCACCTTCAACACCTGCAAAGAGGGACCGAAGATCTATCTGGAAATCGGGAAACCCAAAGTCTCTTTGTTTTCATGCGTGCATGTATACAATAGCTGGGGGTGTTCTTTTGAAACGGTGAATACCCGATACCCACAAATGATCCCAAATGGCAATTTTGATAGGGACAAAATGTGATAATCATAATCCATTAAAATTGGGCTACCCTATATTTAGACAAACCCTTAAAGGAATCAATGCGTGTTTAGACACAGAAATTGGCGTGTGTCAACGTTCGTCCCGTTGGAGCTATATTCGTCCCGTTGTACAGTACATCTATGACTATGTACAGTACTATATTGCATATCTTCATATACGGTATGCAGAAATATTGTACCATTACATAATATTACATAATTATATTGTAGCATATGATATCATATGAATCATACTTAACTTCACCAGATCCAGCTTTCTACGTTTCTTCATCAGCTTTTCGGACAAACCGCCATCCCTTCCAGCTACTAGTAACCACACACCCAGGATTATATCCATATTATGTTCGGATCAATCCTCAGCTTCAAGGACCAAACCGGCCAACTATCAAATCTGTTCCTGGGGGAACCCCTCACTCATACCTTCATCATGATATCCTTTACTACCTAAGTTATCCAGGTTATGGTTGGCGTTCCCTTCAAGATCTTCAAGGCCTAAGCACCATCCACCAGCCCCCCTTGGGCCTCCGGTAGATCCACCCGCCAGAACAACGGCACTGCCTCCGCGTCCACCACCTCCACAGCCTCCACAGGCGCCTCCGGAGGCACCGCGACCTCCACCACCGCCGCAGCCGTTAGCACGGCACGGCGGCCGTGCAGCCGTGCTGCCGACATGGCCGCGAGGCGTTCTGTCTCGGCAGAACGGCTGCAGTCCTCCAACCAGGACCTGAGAGGTCAACTTATAGACGTGTTTTGGTAGCTGGATTTAATATCTAATTATGATTAATCCTCTCGGCGCCTGGGACCACCGCAGGTGCGGAACTTGTCTTTCTTAGCAACAGGCATCCCAAGGCCACATCAATGGCTTCTTATGGGCGTCCAAGCCTGCCGTGTGCCAGGCCTTAAACGCTTCAAAGCGTTAAAACTTGCAAAAGCGTTTCGGAACGCCTAACCGCGCAGGCACAAGTATGGGACGCCCAACCGCGCAGGCACAAGCTACCCCAAGGCCAGATCCATCGCTTCTTCTAAGCGCGGTCCACGCCAACAGGCACCCCAAGGCCACATCAATGGCTTCTTAGGCTTCTTATGGGCGTCCAAGCCTGCCGTTTGCCAGCCCCTAAACCCTTAAAACGCCTAAAACCCCTAAAACGCCTAAAACGCTTAAAACCGTTAAAACTCTGCCAAAGCGTATGGGACGCCCAACCGCGCAGGCACAAGCTACCCCAAGGCCAGATCCATCGCTTCTTCTAAGCGCGGTCCACGCCAACAGGCACCCCAAGGCCACATCAATGGCTTCTTAAGCTTCTTATGGGCGTCCAAGCCTGCCGTTTGCCAGCCCCTAAACCCTTAAAACGCCTAAAACCCCTAAAACGCCTAAAACGCTTAAAACCGTTAAAACTCTGCCAAAGCGTATGGGACGCCCAACCGCGCAGGCACAAGCTACCCAAAGGCCAGATCCATCGCTTCTTCTAAGCGCGGTCCACGCCAACAGGCACCCCAAGGCCACATCAATGACTTCTTAGGCTTCTTATGGGCGTCCAAGCCTGCCGTTTGCCAGCCCCTGCTTAAAACAGTTAAAACTCTGCCAAAGCGTATGGGACGCCCAACCGCGCAGGCACAAGCTACCCCAAGGCCAGATCCATCGCTTCTTCTAAGCGCGGTCCACGCCAACAGGCACCCCAAGGCCACATCAATGGCTTCTTATGGGCGTCCAAGCCTGCCGTTTGCCAGCCCCTAAACCCTTAAAACGCCTAAAACCCCTAAAACGCCTAAAACGCTTAAAACCGTTAAAACTCTGCCAAAGCGTATGGGACGCCCAACCGCGCAGGCACAAGCTACCCCAAGGCCAGATCCATCGCTTCTTCTAAGCGCGGTCCACGCCAACAGGCACCCCAAGGCCACATCAATGGCTTCTTAAGCTTCTTATGGGCGTCCAAGCCTGCCGTTTGCCAGCCCCTAAACCCTTAAAACGCCTAAAACCCCTAAAACGCCTAAAACGCTTAAAACCGTTAAAACTCTGCCAAAGCGTATGGGACGCCCAACCGCGCAGGCACAAGCTACCCCAAGGCCAGATCCATCGCTTCTTCTAAGCGCGGTCCACGCCAACTGGCACCCCAAGGCCACATCAATGGCTTCTTATGGGCGTCCAAGCCTGCCGTTTGCCAGCCCCTAAACCCTTAAAACGCCTAAAACCCCTAAAACGCCTAAAACGCCTAAAACGCTTAAAACCGTTAAAACTCTGCCAAAGCGTATGGGACGCCCAACCACGCAGGCACAAGCTACCCCAAGGCCAGATCCATCGCTTCTTCTAAGCGCGGTCCACGCCAACAGGCACCCCAAGGCCACATCAAAACGCTTAAAACCGTTAAAACTCTGCCAAAGCGTATGCCCCAAATAGGGGGGTCGGCGGCACCAGGGCGCTAGCCCATTCTATTATGCAGGAAATAGAATGGAAATTCTACGGTGAGAAGTGTCTGAAAGCCTCAACTTCTGACAGAACCATGGTAACCATGGTTGGAAATCCAGGAAAAAGGGCATTGGAATCGCAGGAAGCTGCCGACCAAGCCACTCCTCCGCTCTGGGCCGTTTCGCCTCCGCCAAAACCGACTCTGCTGGGCGCTTGGAAGCCGATGCGGCAGAGGCAGCAGGCGCGGCAGGCGCGGCAGTCGGCTTGGTGGCCAGCAGGTCTTGAATGATGGAGAGGAGGGAAGCAGTGGCTTCTTCCATCTGACCCTCCTCAAACCATGGGAGAATATCTCGGAGAATGCGGGGTTTGAAAAAACAGATGATCTGATGTTGGGAGTGAAGATGTAAAAAACCAGATCGGATGCTTTTTGAAAAACCCATCATTCCACACGAACAAGGACTGTTGCTGGGTGGTCAAACCGCTTCGGGGCGCACCGCTTGGGCAACATCAGGCCATTGGAGATCCGATGGATCTTCGAATGACAAGCTGGTTCCCAGAAATCATGAATTCACTTCACCATCAGAATGCCCACAGGATCCATGGTGCTGCTATATATGGTGACATGGATCCCATCAATATACCCCCTTTATGTTAGCATATATACCAGCACCATGGATCCGTCATGGGATGTGCAAGAGTAAAAGCCCAACAAGCTCACATCTCTTGTGGTTATCATGTCTCATATCGAGGCTTAGTCCCAAGATCAACATAGATCAAGCACGTTTACCCTCCGGATTTCCCCAGCTAGACACCTCCATTTAGTTCCGGGATGAACATTTTGAAACCACCAAGCAGACTTGACCATGATTATACAGTTATGGCCATTTACCAGTTATAACTGGTTATTTCAATGGGATTATACATTCTATAAATGGGGTTTTGTTAGTACTTATAACTAATAAATGGCCACGACTGTATACCATTTCCTCCGTCCATCTATGCCATGGACGTGAACACCCATCGCTCCTCAGCGAGTTCGATGCTGCTTCTCACATCGTCCCTGGCGAGCAGCAGCGCAATGACCTCCTCCTGTCATGGCCGCGCCCCATCCAGTTTTGTTCGGGACTTTTTGGCCAAATCCACTGGCTGATTGATGTTCATAATGGTTAATAATAATGGATAATAAGGAAATGGTATATAATAAATAATGGATAATCATGGATAAAATAATAATAATAGAAAATAAGGGAATGGCATATAATAATGGATAATAATGGATAAAATGGATATTGATGGATAATAATAATATTAATAATAATGGATATTATCGGATTTTTGGCCATAAACCCACTGGTTGATGTTCATAATGACTATATGACTGATGGTTATAGTACTGGTGATGAATGGTGAATCGAAAACAAGAGAGCATCTATATGCCTGTTTTGTTTTATTCATACAGGGTACCACGGTCAATAGTATTTGACCACTATTTGGGGTTGACCACTGTCCAAAATGAATGGTCACGGTTGACCCATCAAGGGTGGAACCACAGAATCTCGACAGTCTGACAGTGCTTGTTCTTTGGCAGGAAGCTGCTCGTCTTGAAAGTAATACATGCTTTGTCTCCAACTTTGGAATTCTATGCAGATCTAGGATGATATAGGATGATATAGGTATCAAAATGATGGAGCCCCCAATCAAAATGCATAGTCAAAATGATGAAACCCGCAATGAACATTGATACTTTAGCATGTTGAATACTAAACACTACCAGATCATACCAGCTCTATCACCCATTTGTGGCTCCGGAATTTATCAGCTTTCTTTTAAAGTCCTCCAGTTTGCCAATCATTGGCGACACATCCATGTCACTCGCCATGGCTCCGGCATTCCAAAGAATTCTTCATACGTCGGACATGAAGAAAAGAAACTCACAGTTTTCAGTCAGTGGTCCTGGCTTTTTTGCGCCCAAAAAAAGAGCACTCAAATTCACTGATATATCTGATATGCAGAAAGGACATGACCCTGTCATCTGCATTCAAGAAACGCTACCAGAAATTCGCCAATCAAAAAGCGGCTTTTGGGGATGCTGTGATGAAATGTCTCTGCAGTGGTCCCGTGGTACGTCCAGCGGCTTAGGGATTCTTTTTAGTCAGGGCCCAGTCGTGCGGCATGAAATGCGTATCAGTCTGGCGAATGCTGAGTTTCTACCATTTTCCAAAGAGGTCAATACATTGGTTTAAAGACAATTCTACAGGAAACTATTGGTGTTTAACCCAAACTATATAGGATAATAGATGGATTTCAATCGCATAATCGCAGTAATGTTGGTAGATAAATGATAAACCACCTCCAGTTTAACAACAAAATCACAAATGGGTGTTATAAACCATCAAAATATGGTTGGTTTATCATTGCTTTACGAACATTATTTCTCTTCAACCCAATTCTGGGACACTGCCAGGAGGTGCTTCTGCAACCGCTGGAGCCATTGTGGTTTTTGCCGCAGGATGGGATGGGGGGATGCCCCCGTTCATGTGTTTCACACCCTATATAAATGATCCCAAATGATTAAGATTGGTTGTAGACTTATTCAAGTAAATAAAGCTCCCAAACATTGTTTTTTTTGGGGAGGTGTTGAATTTTTAGGGGGTAGGATTATTTCTCAAACCTAGGCAGTGACAAAGAATCTGTATGTGTGTGGAGAAACATGGAGAGACCCAGTTCGATCCTTGGCGTAACATTTTAGGCCTTTTGCTTAGATTCTTGCTAGGCCAAGATACTCAAGTGTTAGCTCAGCAAGGTCACTGTGATTCCATTGCAGCATGGAGCGAGTCGAACGGTAAAGCTGAACGGTGCTTTCCTTTGGAGATGGACATCCCACAAAGAAATGGACCCCATGGGATTTATTGACCTGAAAAAAACCTGCGTGCGGAATGTTGAACTTGGAACTTTCTCATCTTTGAACCCATAATAACACATAGGGATTGTTTGACAATTCCCACCTTTATTGATCTTCCAGCAGGTTTCATCCCTGGTGGCCCATGGGCTTTCTTCGCCGGAGCCAGGATGGACAAGTTGGCGAGATCTACCCCGGGGCACTGGCTGGATCTTCCATGTCCGAAAATAGGTCACAGGTACACCCAAAAACCTGAGATTTCAACATGCGTCTGGAGCATACTCCCAGTCCTTCCAACACCCAAATGAAAGGAATCCTTGAACAAGCCATCTTTAAGTGGCAAGGGGTATGCTCTAGGGGTATGCTCTAGGGGTCTGTTGAAATTTACTCAGAAAAAAGAGCGGGTGGCCAGAATGATCCAACGAATTATGAACGACTACTGATGTCTTTTCGGGGCAATCCACGTGTAACTGTGGTTTGTGCATGTTTGTGCGATATCACCAACCTGTTGGGCAATGAACAATGTGGTGTAACATCCATCTCACTGACCGGTGTGAATCTTTTTGGGCGTTGCAACTTGCAACTTATGGCAGGTGCAGTCTCCCAACTGTCCCAACTCCATCAACTCACCGTTTCTCCCAGCTGTACACTGTACAACAAGGGGGCCAAACATGACCACCATGGCGTTGAAAAACGGGGAGTTAGCTCCCAACGCCCTCAATCTCCAGGATTTCGCCCTGTACATCTGGCACCTGAAGTTTCTGAACCGAGCAGAATGAAAGAAAGCAGCATTTTGTGTCATGGTATCTGTTAATCATGGTTAGTAATGGTTAATACTTGTTAAATATTGGTTCATACTGCTTATTACTAATCTACTTAACTCTCCGGTGTCATCAAAGGTGGCTGCAAAATCCTCGAACTTTTCCCGGAGGTTTCTAGCTGGGAAAAGCATCAAACTAAAATAGTGGGATTTTACAGCCATGTTTGATGACACCAGAGGAGCCCACCATCTCCTGGTGCAGAAATTTTCCAAGTTCGACTCCAACTCGCCCATCTCAATTCATGGAATCATTGATGTGAAAAAACGTCCAATGATAGCAATGACCCTCTGGCAATTTAACATAGCTATGGAAAATTATCATTTTCAATGGATAAATCCACTCTAAATGGCCATGTTCAATAGCTATGTTAAATTACCAGAGGGTATATATATATATATATATATATCTATATCTATACTTATATCTGTACAGTATATATTCATTCATAATCACATATATGGTCAATTGTCATCAGCTACCATGATCGTCAATGAATATAAAATCCCAATCCTACTTTCGTGATTCCGTCAAATATGATAGGATCATATGATCCGTTTGCCTAACAAAAACAACAATGATCAACGACCCCATCATGATCACAATTGTCATATCAATTATCTTCTGGTCTGTGGTTTCAACCGGAAAAAATCCACTGGTATCATTCTCAGGGGATGATGCTGACCACAAAACATGCAGAACAAGTACTGAATTGATATGTAATTATATGTTAATTGACATGTTAACCTATATGGTAATTTATATGTTTAACCATTGGTATTTATAATATATATATATGTTAGTTATATGTTAATTAACATGTTATATGTTAATTAACATGTCTATATGGTAACCTATGGTAAGCTCTAAAAATCTGTTTCCAGGTGATGGCCAGCCGAGGCGCAACTCGCAGCGAAGCCCCAAAGGCTTGAGCGAGCCACAAGGCCTCGATCAGGCAGATCAATACTCAATACATCGGGATATGATGGGATTATCATGGGAATGTACATGTATGAACAATATATACAGTATATATATATAATTAATTATAATAATAATAAATATTATTATTATTTATATATATTATAATATATATATATATAATGTCCATTTATAATTATGTGTAGTCAAATCTGTATAGTCAGCTGTAAGCCCCAACTTTGGCATTCACCATTTCTTGAAACCGCGCCTCACCCTAGTTTCAATCTCGTCTTTACGGTGGACGGCATGGCTTCTGCTGGTTTTTGGAACTGCAGGGGAGGGACTCAAAATGATGATGTGAAAACTGGGAATGTCACTGCTAAAAGGAAAATGGTGGCAGCGAATGGACCGGGAGTTTGCCACTTGCAGGACAGCTATCCACAACTTCATGATGACCATTGATGACCATAATGCTTGCCTGAGCCTGAGCAGTGTTTCCACAACGGCATCCCTTTAGATTGGTTAAGAACGGATTTCCCATCATGGATTGTGATAATCCCCAAAATATCATGGGTAGTATAGCACCCTATGATCATCAAACTGACATAAAGATCCACAAGGTAAATTCTCACCCAAGGACCGTTTGAAAATGCAGCGATTGCTTCGTGCCCAGTCGAAGTCGCGAAGTTCCCTTCGCCAAGGCCATGAAAATCACCAATTGATCCTGGGATGAAAAGGATCCATTTTGAACCAATCAACCTTGAGCTGGTGCGCGAAAAATGTTTGAACTATAGGACTATAGGCAGAGCTCTGGGCCCCTGGAAGTTTGCTGACTTTGTCATTTTGGGGTCATGGTCATGATCAACCCATGCTCTTCTGCGTCACAACATCACCCACTTGGTGGACCCCATTTGCTTCTGCCAAACATTATAGCGACAGAACCACTTAACCACTTCCAGTCATCCCATCGCCCATCCTCCAGATGTTCATCGCAACATCCACCGCGACCATAGGCTGCCCAGGCCTTGCGTGCCGCTTCTTCCCCGACCGCCTCGGCCATGGTTCCCTTACCTCAGCTGTTCCACATCTGCCAAAGGTAATTTTGGGCGAAACATAATTTTGAACATGTGGCATACACGCATTCAAAACATCACACAACTCAAGAAATCACAGGCATGACACCCTCCAGTAAACCAATATTATATATATATATATTATATTATATATATATATATATTGTATATTATATATATTATATTATATATATAGCTATTGAAAATCCACTTAAATTCACCATGAATGTAGATAATTCCCTAGGAAAGCCATGGATGTCAGAGCTAACTCGCCCAGTGGCGGCCCATAGAGTCGCCTCCAAAGTGACATCCCGTGGAACTGCGCAGCACCACGACCAGCCCGCAGGCATCGGCACCGTTGGCCGTGGGACACTCCTAGGGACCAGTTACCCTCTGGTAATGACTAACTGATGGTTAATATCAACAGTTGATAATCATCAATATCAATGTTATCTGATGGTAATATCAATGGTTAATAATAATGTTATAATGATTTTTAATGATGATGTTAGTTAATAACATTGATATTGATGATTGTTGGTTAAGAATGGTCAATACCCTCTGGTAATGACGAACATAACGAACTGGAAAGATCCACCATTTTCAATGGGTTTTTATCCACTATTTCGACTGGGCCATTTTCAGTAGCTTTTTGTTAAATTACCGGGGGCTATTGAACGGTTGATGAATGGTTGATTGATAATGGTGCATAATGTTGATTAATGATTGATAGATATATTATCAGTTAATCACCATTTTTCTAAAAATCAGATTATTGAATGATTGATGGTTATACAATGGTGATTAGCTGATAATCAGATGAGATGGTTACTTGGTGGCTCATCCCATTTAGTAAGTAGGTTATAACTGTTATGACCCTAGTTATAAGTGGATTAGCACTACTATCCCACTGACAAACATGGGGATATAAACTAATTAGTAAGTGGTACGAGTATGAGCCACCAAGTAGGGATGTAGCCAACCATTTTAAATGGGAATAATGGGTGAATACTGGGAGACTATGGCATACTGTAAATAAAAATCATGGGATCTAGTAATTTTGTATTATCTATGACCATTTGAATCCAGTTGATATGTTCAACGTGGGCCAGGGTCAAACCTACCCTTCTGTTCCCCCCAGCTTAGAGATGAGGGTGACCGTCCCGCGCGGCACCTGGCACTCAAAGTGAGGCACGATCTCTGGTAGTTTTTCTTTCAGCAGCACAGCAGCACCTCCTGGTCGCTTCTTCAGCTGACCTGGAAAGACAAAGCGACATCAGAAAACTACAAAGCAATGATACATTGGATAGACAATGAGGGGTCTATGTGGATATACTAATATAATTTATATATTTTTATACATACGTATATGTATATAACTAATAATGAAATCATAATATGGAAGTTATGTATATATATATATATATTATTTGTGGGAAAATGGTGATGCAAACCAGGAATCATGGGAATATCATGGAAATTTACATCATGGGATTGTATAACCAACTAAGTAACCAACGTATTAGATTGGTGTGTCTGGAAATGGGCTGTTTGACTACCCCGAAATGGCGGCATCATTTCGATCAACTGGAAAATGACGATCAACTAGTGGGGCACTAACTGGCACATCCACCCACAACTATAGGGTTACCCTCTGGTAAACTAACATAACTATGGAAAATCACCATGTTTAATGGGAAAATCCACTATTTCTATGGTCATTTTCAATAGCTATGTTAGTCATTACCAGAGGGTACCTCAGATTTTTTGGGACTTTCAGTGTGAGTGGCGTCTGACCATAGCATGTTCCGCTCTTGATTTTTTTGGTTTTTGTAAATCGCAGCTTGGGGCAATCATCCCAAGAGACAGAAAATACATGAATGTAAACGCAGCAGAATAATTACTAATGATAGCAACAACAATGATAATCAATAATACCCATTTTTTTCTATTAATTAGTATAATAATATACAATAATATGGCTTAAAAAGAAATGGAACATGTCTTCTCCATGGCAACACATGACTTTCCCACCAACGATGAACCTTCCAGCATCCGCGGCAGAACGTTTTGTGGCACCGCCGCGGAGCGGTACAATGTGCCTGCGACCTGTGATGGGATGGCTCCAAAATTCGGAGTCTGTGAAGGGGACCACCTCTAGGAGGGACCCCCACGCAATGTAACATATAATATATATATATATATGTAATATATATATATATATATATATGGTCATATGTGATATATGTATATATGATATCAATTGATATCATGGAATCCAAAAGTGTTTAGTATGCCTTTCAGAAACGGGCATCAAGATGGACCAACGTCTTCATCACTAGATATAAAAGCACGCAGCATCAAACTATCAAATTGCACGACATGTTATCCAGGTGCCAGGTTCTGGTTCATAAAAATGATTCAAGACATGTTTTTTTATTGGTGAACCGGTGGTTTCCAAGAAATGTTCACTCATCAAAATCGCCAGGAAAATTCAAAAAATGAATGTGCTTATGATACCCCAAAATTGATTAAATCCTCTATGTTCATTGTTGAAAGATATTTTCATTGTTGAAAGATAGCCATGGCCAAACATTGGTGACAAATATCCACATTGTTGTGTCCAAACTCAAAATCCATATGGTTGCTTATATCCCCAGTATCTCGCCACAACGAATTTATTCCATTATAATTATATACTTGTTATATCCCAGATTTTGTTGAATATCTCCTCATTAGATCTCTAAAAAATGGTTGCGTTTCCTCCTTGTTGTGTGTTTCTTCACCCAGACAGGTTTGTCTGACAATCTGGTATCCCCAATGTTTTTTTGCTGCGTATTTGCTCACTTTCCGTAAAGAACATGCAGTTTTGCTGTGAAATATCACCATTTGAGTTGGTTTATTCATCCAAACTTCAGCATCAGCCTCCAGAATCTCACCTGGCTCCACCATCTCTGAAGCTTCCAGTGGCCAGCGGGGGGTCGAACCTGGGAATTCATGGGACTATTTTTATAGGTATAACTGGTATAACCATGGTAAAATTCACCCCCACAAGTTGGGATATACAAGGATATAAGCCCTTTAATTCTGACCATATACCATCATATAAACCCACACAATTGTTGTAGGTATTTTCAGTGCAACAGTGTTGAAGCCTCCAACAGTTTCTGGAGGATTTTGTGGGTTTGATCCTCTGAAAGGTCTTTTCAAATTTTTCTGGAGCTTTCCGAGACTGAGTCAAGGTTGGGGAAACATGAGTTTGTAGGTAGGTCAGTCCAAAAGTTCTGTAACGCAGTCCACGTATCATCCGAACGTGGCGAACGCCCACAAAGACATGATGAAAGCATGGATAGCCCTGTAGGAGTAGGCTGTTTTTTCTCACCATCAAATACCAACAAATTACATTTTTTTATGAACCAAATTTAACCAAATGTTGCAGGCTGCGGGTCTGGAAGCCATGTAAAACATCATGAAAAACCCTCAAAAATGGGGATATCACTGAGGATTCTAAACATATATGTGGATATCATTTATCCCTCATTTAATCACTGAAGCCATTTAACATCGTTTAACCTCATTACCCTCTGGTAATTTGTTACATAGCTATTGAAAATCACCATTTATAGTGAATTTTCCCATTAAAAATTGTGATTTTCAATAGCTATGTTAAATTACCAGAGGGTAATATAGAATATTGATGGAGTATTGATGGAATCTGAAGCAAAGTTCCGATCCCGTCCGTTTTCCGTCCAGGTGGCATCGCACTAGAACCTCACCACCGCCATGGAGAAAGCCTCGTTGTTTCACCTGGCCACAGCCAATTGGCCTCCTTGTTTCCACATCCCAAGAAGAAATGTCTAGCTGAATTCATGGTACAGCAATGTATTATATGTATGTAGAGCAATATAATATGCATATATATATATATAGCAATATATGTATATAGTATATAGCAATAATATATATATATATATGTGTATATGTATATATTATATACATATAAATTGTATATTTGCATATATACATATTTATATATGAGTGTATATACGTATATAATAACAATAAATGTATATAGCGACATGTTAATATACATACAGCAATATACATACAACAATATACATACAGCAATATATACATACAGCAATATACATACAGCAATATATAACCATAGTGGTAATTCACCAGCTAATGAGGCCATTTGAAGATAGCTACCCTAGTCAAGGTGGCGTGGGTGGAGTTGACCGAGGGGTGTGAGAGACCCAACCCATGATGGCTGCTTTCACGAAACCAACTGGAAAAAGTGCCTGGTTTCACCCTGGAACCAGTGGTTGACTGGTTGACTGGCCCAAACAATCTGCAAAACCACCATTTTTGCTGGTGATATAACAAAAAGGTCAAAAAGAAAGTGTTTGGGCATGTTTGGGCTATATCCAACTCTTATCCCCATGCTCTGTTAGTCCTACCCCACCCCTATTTCTTAACGAAAAAAATGATCCTCACATCATGCACGACTGGATCCATTGGATCCGTGGCCAATCGCCAACCTGCAGTTCTAGGGTGACGCCAAAGAGCTTCCGCAGCACGGGAAACAAGACCAGTTCAACGTAGTCCACCTGTGGTGCATTGATCTCGAACGGTCCTGCAGCCGGGCAAGGTGTGTTTGAAAAACGTCGCTTTCCCAGCATCGCCGTGTTTGAACAAACTTCGAAGGGTTTCAACATGTTAAAAAAAAAAAAACTAAATCTTCACACGGGAACTGCCCGTGGCGATCCAAGCGGCTCGGTGAACAAACGTTGGTGCCACCCTTGAAAATCACCTCCACTGGACAGCCACCTGTGGTGTCATGGATTGGAATCTGTTGGAGCTACCCTCTGGTAAACTAACAAAAAACTATGGAAAATCACAATTTTTAATGGGAAAACTCACTATAAATGGCCATTTTCAATAGCTATGTTTGTTTTACCAGAGGGTATTTTTTTTTTACGACGTTGGTAGAGAGTTAGCTGAAAAAACATGTCAATTGACTGATTGAATCATGCCATTTTAAGGCTGTGTCTCTGAAAACGTTTCGATTGAAAGGATGTGATGTCGTACCTGTATATCTACTTGTAAATGCTGTCACGTATCCTTGGTGCTAAGACAACTTTTTCCAGGTACTTTTTCCCCGTGCTTGACTGCTGATGTGGTGACTTCCTGCACAAACTACACAAGTTGATTGCCAAATCATATAGTCATATTAGTCATATTAGTCATATTAGTCATATTAGTCATATTAGTCATATTAGTCATATCATTAGTCATATAACATATTCATATATATGAATGTAGTCTATGCATGTCTATGCATGTCTATGCTGCCGGAACAGGGGTCCCCAAAACGATCCTCCCATCGCTGAAGATTTCTGATCTCTAGCCCGATGCCTTCCAGACCAGATCTGGCCAACATCATTGGAAGCAGCGCTTGGAGCATGAGCATGGTGGAACCACCTGCAGTCTGAACATGACTGAACACCACCCCAAAAAAAGACATCTGTGGTTGATGTGCTATGTTAATATTATACAAATATGTTCGCATAAATGTAGATGTATATAGATGTCACGAGATTGATATTATATGTACATACTATATTATACATACAGTATATAATCACATATATATATAATATGTAGATATGCAAAATATACAAAGGGTAAGTTATATTAATATATACACGTATATATTTTACACGTGTATATATATATATGTAGATATATAGTGCGACTTAAGTACACCAATGCACATAAGTGCCTCAATGCATTGAAGTAATGTGTGCGTGAACAGACAGACACACACACACACATCCCATCAGTGTTTGTGTCCCGCGAACTTTGTTTATTTGCCAGAAGACCAACGGCCCTTTTGGACTCCAAGATGCTGTACCCTGAAGCCGTGCCAAAATATCACCAACCTCCCACGAAAACCGACTGGCACAAGAATCACCAACCCCAGAATCCCACATACCCAAAAGAAAAGTGCCAGATATATCCCAACATCCAACCCCCCAACTTCTCCCATCCAAACAACCATAGACCGCAGCCTGTTCCGGCATCCACCACCTGGACCGCAGCGCCGGCCGCGCCCTTGGCCTCGAAGGTCACTTGGCCGCTGCCCACCGCGGCACCGCTCAGCGTGGCGCTGCTCAGTCGGGCCAGGGCTTCGAGGGCTGCTAGGTGCGCGGGACGCAGCCCAGGAGTGCCCCTGGAGATGTGGTGGTTTAAGGGGAAATCTACCGGAAATCCCTAGATTTTATGGGAAAAACATGAACAACCATGGTTTCCTATATAGATTTTTCCTTAAACTCCATTGAGGATAGAAATTGGAAAATGGAGATACGTTGTGTATATACAACATGCCACAATGGTGATTTGGTTACATCTCCACAAAGACCAAAAAGATCCAAAAAGTACAAGGCTCATAGTTAGCTTAGTTGGTATACAACTAGGTTGGTAATGGCTTGTGATAGATACATCGAACTAGTTAAGTGGTTTTATAAAGCAACTTGTAACTTGGGGGCATCACCATCAGTTATTATTGGTTGTATCCACATGTTAAGCCAACTATATAGCCATTCCTGTTTGATGGATATTTATGGGGATGTAACCAAACAAAGATGGTGATAATCAACGGGCACAGAATATGGATGTCCTTCCCACTGATACGGAAACCTCGAAGAAAATCTGGACATATCTGGACTTAACATGACTTAACCAGCATTCATAGGCATTTTGACCATCCAAAAATGGTGATGTAATGTAATTCATGGCTTATCATGGGACATCAAATAATAGAACAATACAGGGATGTGACCAACATATATCATATACCAACGTGATAATATTAATGTTGCGATTGCCAGATACATAATATATGAGGGGGGACGATATCGAAAATTATAATATAACTTATAACTATATTTAATATTAATGCCCACAGGTATCATGAATGTATTATAAATGCGATTGGTAACTGGCTGAAATAACTCTTTCTTACTACGGGTAGACCAAAAAAGAAATAACGGGAATAACGGGAACTGCAGCTGCGCAGCTGCAGTCGAAGCTTAAGTCCGTACGTTTGGCTGATTTTTCTGTTGAACCTCCATTCGGTGATTTCACGTCCTGCCACGTTTGATGACACCGGCCGGAGGTTTCTGTTGAAGCTCCTGAGTTTGGTATTCGTTGTATCCTGTTGGATACACCACAAGAGCACTTGGGTGGTTTTAGTCCATTGGCATCATCCCAAATGTGGCCGCTTGCACTGGTCCCTGCCTGCCGCCGCGCACGTTGCAGATGGATATACCTCGTTGCAGCGCCGCAGCATAGGCCGCGGAGTTCCGAAGAAGCTGACCCCCGCCTGGCCAACCCCAAGTCGTCAGATGCAGAAAAGCTTAGGACACCTGGAAATTGAAGTAAATATCATCGAACTACCATCCTGGAAACATCTGGAAATACCTAGAAGATAACCCTCATTAGCAGCATGTATAACCCCGCGCTTCTACACTTTCAGGGCCATTCTTTGGAAGGAAAGTCCTCTGAAGACCCAACCTTCCAACGTTGACCCATCAATTTGCAGCAGCCCCTCCGTCACTTCGGGCAATGGGATCTCCGCTGCAGCTGCCGACTGACCCGGCCCCACCGTTGGTTCTGAAGGCACCACCTTTCAGCGCTGACCGGAAAAAAGTGGATAGCTTGGAATATGTTCGAAATTAGTTCTGACTCTTGAACAAAGGGTTGCAACCACAAACCAGAACCTCAAGATACCTCAAGATCTTCTTCAACCTTGGCCCCGCTTTGCGCCTTGACCTTGGCCGTCTTTGCTTTGGCCTCGGCAGCTGCCTTTGGAAAGACGAAACCCAGCAGCATCCAGTCGTCCTGGCGGTTTTTGTCCATGATCAAGTGGGTATGGCTGAAGTGTGCCGTTGCAAACTGCAAGTTGATTCTTGTGGCTATCTTGATATTGATATGTTTGGCCAAGAATTTTTTGGGGTACATTTTGCTGATCCATACCGTCCATACCCATCTAAACAGCAAAATACCGACAGCTTAACTACTCATTATCCCATGGCCCCTCAGCAACCAGCAGCAGCAGCATCTTCCATCTTAGGTCGACTGACGAATCATTGTGGGGTCAGGGTTACTTTGGTCGACCAAAGGTCCTTATCGATTCACCCCAAAGCACCAGAAACGGCAGAGATTTCCACCAGCAACGCTGAATGGATTTGATCAAAATTGGGCGATACACCACATGATGTCCAAACAAAAAATGCCCCACAACCATTTTCCGAGCATTCTGCAATCTTAGGAAAAAAAACAGTCAGCGAAAACGGATGTATCCTTCAGATGCACGGACAGCGTCAGGTGGGGGTTCTTAATCTCTGGAATCCAATCCATGAGCTCTGACACTGCAGCTGCCAGTGCCCGGCGGAAGACCAAGGTCTGCTCCTTTGGGATGAGGTCAGTGGGGGGATACCATGAAGCAACAAAGAACTGTGCAGAACATCGAAAAATGTGGCTGGCACCCAACAAGTCATGGGGGATAGAAGTTCTATATATAAATATATTTATATAAGATGATTCAAGTGATTGCAACTACTGGTCACCCTGCAAGTCATGGGGATGTACAACAGATATAGCCAGCAAACAGTGGGTATAGCCAATGATTTGGGTAGGAGTCAAAGTAAAAAAAAACAGTCACTATCGAAACCATGGCCCATTTGGTTGGATGTGTTCCCCCCCAGTACTTCAATTGTGTTTTCAATAGATGTTACTGGGGGGGATGTACTTCTTATAATTTGACATTTAATTATGTCAATAGTGTTCCCCCCCAGTACTTCTACTAATCTATGTTAAAATATTTGATGTTACTTCTTATTTGTTCCTGGACCCACGGTCAGAATTAATTTAAAACCCAACTATCATTGAGTCATGTTTCATCTACAGGGAACCTTGATGCACGCCTGAACTTAAAAACACAAAATAGCACTGCACATTTTCATATGCAACCGTCAACCTGTCACTGATGTCACTGAATCATCGCGACATGCCTTGGATGGCTGTCTTTACATGTTTCTTTTCAACGAATCTCACCCCGCAGCTCACCTGCCTGACTGCCCACTGATTTGCACTGCACATAGAAACCTTGGTCACTTTGCCGTGAGTTGATATGGCTGTTGAATGCTGATGTTTGGCCCACCATACAGCATTTCAGATTTAACCATTCATGATAGTGGTGATGTATATATATATATATATATTGACATACAATAAAGGCAATTCATCAGTAAGAATGACAAGAATGAAAACTTATAGTCATATAATATAATGATTGAAATCTAGAGAACTTAGAATTTCAGTCAACTGGCATCATTGAAAAGTCCTCCATAGACTGACAAAACTCCTGATTCTGGCTTCATTAAATCACTACGACCGTCGAAGCAGCATATGTATCTATAACACACACAGTCAGTATTTCTATGTTTTGTCAGTACATATATATAATATATATATATATTATATACATATGTATACATGAATTTATTATAGGCATATATAAACCAGACATCCACATATATATATATATATCTATACCATCTGGTTATTTAACAGTTTGCCATGGAAAATCACCATGCTATTAATAGGTAAATCATCTATTTCTATGGGCCATTTCCCATGGCTATGTTAGTCATAACCAGAGGGCATGGTACGTATCTAATGTCAACCCTGGATTCATGCACCGCTGTTTGATTGGGACCACTTTGGTAGCCATGACCATCATTTTTCCCGGATGACCCGTATTGATATCAAGCGTGGTTTATGAATCCAGGGTTGCATTTTTTTGTCTGTCTCCAAACGCTGCACTGATATAGGCTCTTTTCTTTTTGAGGTGTTTTCTCAGAGGGATTCTCGACATTGAAGTTAACCTGTGGTCATTTCTTCCAAGTGTTTTCCTTACTGGCGCTTAGTAGGGAATGGATGGGAATGGGGGAATGGGGGAATGATAGTTTTTGTGGATCATTCCCTCATTCCCTACTAAGCACAACTAAGTTTCAATTTGTTCGTCAGTTGACACCGCCACCATGCTGAGATGTAACGGCAAGTGTTTCGTGTCTTGCTTCGGCGCTGACGGCACAACAAGGGCATCTGCATGGGGTTAAACCACCCTGAATATCTCTAGTTTCCTTTGACTTTCGAGGAGTTATGTATATCTGGGTCATCAACTACAACGGGATATCCAATTGAATAAACAATACAAAACAATAACAAACTGGTTGGTGGTATACCTACCCCTCTCAAAAATATGAGTTCGTCAAATGGGATGATGACATTCCCAACTGAATGGAAAGTCATAAAACATGTTCCAGTCACCACCAAGCAGTTATTCTATCGTACAGTACCCCATAGGATCCATGGTGCTGCTATATATGGAAAAAAATACCATCAATATACCCCAAATGTTAGCATACCGTACATGGATCCTATGGGTACGGGTCTACCAACCAGCAAAGGCAATTGGCTGATTCTTGTGACATCTTGTGACCCTTACTTAAGGGATGATTACAAAACCGGGTCGATCATTGGCCCAGTCACCATCCCAGGGACACTGAATTGTTTACCCAGCCAGCATCAATTGGGGGTGCCATTTTTACGGCATAAATGGCTGATCTCATGATTTTGGACCATCGATTCTGAATGGTTGATGGAATTCCCAGCCAGTCAAATTTCAGGCGTCTATTGTTTAAGTGTCACTATGGCGTTTGTGTGTACCATCTGGTTATGACGTTCACAGTTTGCCATGGAAAGATCCACCATGCTATTAATAGGTAAACCACCTATAAGTGGGCCATGTTCCATGGTTATGTTAAATAACCAGATGGTAAATATATACATATATACGTATATATATATATATTGCCTCATTATTCCACGATATCTTAGGGATCAAGTTATATGTCGTAAATAATTATTCAAGTTATAAACCTTCTGGCTTGCATAAACCAATATTCAATCATACCCAAGTGGCAGCTGATATGTTCACAATAATTATTATTCCGGCTACCCGGCCATTCCAACCATAACAATCTCACCACGACGTTGCCAGAGATGATGCTTAGTCCCAAAACAACCGGAGATGTTAGATGTATGAAAAATATATGGTTCAGCTGGATAACAATCTCTTTGAGCAATTAGCGATTCGTTAATAAAGAAAGTGGCTGAGTTCACCGCACATCAAAACTGAAATGTATTGGGATATACACCAGTGATCCCGCGAATCGCTAGTTCCGGCAACGTCCAAGCATAGTGATAGATAGTCTTAGACAAAAATGGCAAAATCCATATCAATGAAGATAAATGAAGAATGGGCATGGGGAATTGAACATTAATTGAACTACGAAAAAAATGAAATGTACATGCAAATTTGGCTACGCATCATTTTCTCTATTAAAAAAAATGCAGAAAAAAGCGTCGCGAGGGGTGAATTTCCCCATCTTCAGATACAGCTATGCAGATCAATGACTTGGATTTGCTCAACAAACAAAACATATTCCCCTAGTTGATTCTCCTGGTGTACTTCCCATTAAACAAAAATAGTAAAGCAATAGTACATACATGTAAAATCATGTACATATCCAAATTTACCCATTGTTCATGGAGGTTTCCATAGTCATGGGGCTACCCCCTCTTCTCATCCATCTTGAATAGGATTTTCCATGAAAGAAAGCATCCAGCTACAGTATGGGGGTACCCCCATGACTATGGAAACTTCAATTTTTGAGGTACCCAATAATCCAATTGCTTATTGTCCTCGTGGTTCATTGAATATAATTATAGTGACGGACAGTCACTTAGAACGTCATTTTTTTTTACAAAATGTTTGACTCTCACACTTAGAACATCCAGAAACCCCACACTTAGACTATCATGAAATATCATGAAATATCCCAAACAAAAAAATATTTTTCTGGGTGCTAAACCATGGTAAACCATGGTAAACCCATGTAAACCTGCCAAGCGCTGCCAAGCGACAGGGCCCCCCTGTCACCTCCAACACCGCTGCCGCGGTCCGAAGGGCCTTCACCCCAGGGCCGTGAAGACGATCTACGAGATGCCTCATGGGGATTTTTGGCTGCCCATATGCGAAGCATGGTGCTGGAATATGAATCCCAACATTTGCCCCATGTTCATGACCCAGTTTTGTAGGTAAATATTCCAGCACCATGGTTCGCATATGGGTTGAGATGAGTTGAGATGAGTTGAGGTACCTAAATTGATGAAATTCAAAGAGAAACATCATAGAGTTTCTGTATGAAAATTGATCGAGTTGACCTGAAATGTTGGGATTTGAGATCATTGGACTCACAGAAATGCGATGTAACCAATGTAACCCTGAAAAAGTGCGGATTTCACTAAGAAACAGTGTGAACATCAAGAACACATCACAGGAAAACACATTGATATGCCCTGTTTTAAGGGTACCACGTCAACAATGGGAGCTTAATTAGTTCTCTTGGGGTAGGAAGGGATGGTACCCTTGGAGTGACGCCGAGCCATGGATTGGTTTCATGCAGCGTTGCCTCCGAAATATGGGATAGAACCAACCAAAATGGCTGGAAATGTAGGCAAACTGATCATATTGTGTTATGTTTTGGGACAGGTTTTTTTTCGCAAAGCGTTTGATTGCATCGTAAACTACGTGCAAAAAAATCTTGAGACGCCACTTCCCAGCGACTTGAGTAGACTTTCCAGCAACCCAAATCCCCAACTGCCGTCCGGCTGCTGTTGCAAAGTTTCCAAGGACAAGTTCTGCCAGTCCTGCCGTGACAACCCTCAGTGCTGTAAGTCTCAAGGGAGGCTATCCTGAAAAAAAAAGGGAACCACAAGAACTCGAATGGTTTAGAGATGTCCAGAGAACATATATATATATATTATATTGTACATACATTGCATCACTTTACATTCCATTCCATTCCACTCCACTCCACTCCACTCCATTCCATTCATTTATGTAACATACATACATATGTATACACTGTGACAGGCATATAACTACATTACATTTGGGCTATTATCCAGTATAGTAATCCCTGAAAATATGTCGAAAAGTGTTTCCAGGACGGTAGTTCGATGATATAGTTGATATAGTTATATTTAATGTCAACCCCGGATTAATAATCCATGGTTTATTCATTAGGGGGGTACTCCTCCAATAGTCATAATCTGATACTTAAATGGTACCCCCCCAATTAAACGGCCGTTTGGGGTTTATTAATCCAGGGTTGACATTACACATCATATTTTCCAGCTCTCCAACTCTTCTATTTTGGGGGGTGCCAAAAAAATGGTACACCCAACCGATGCGCCCGAGCCTCGAGCTGCAGATACGCCACCGCCGCATGCAGCGTCGAGAAGGAGCCGTTCCGTTGCAGTGTCTCCAAGGCTGCGCGCGTCGAGGGCTGCAGCGGGCGTTCGTGGAAGGTGAACCACTTCTTTCCCCGCAGCGCCGGGGGCCAACCTGCAACGGGCTCAAGGGTCTTCCCCTGTTTTCAGATGGCGAAATGAGGGGAGGGCGATTTGGGGTTGGAAAAACCGGGGTGATATACAAATGGCAGAGATGATCCAATATTCGAATGTTCAGTGTTCTTAATGACGTGTCCTTCTGTAACCAATATACCACTGGAGTAACAGCCTCCACTACCGGGTTACTACCTGGTTAAGCTCCATCCCTGCAACCTCAGCAATGCCCAGGTTATGCCCCTGCCGCCTTTGCAGTGCATCAGTGGCTGTGACACGGGACACAACAAACTCCCAAGGATTCGCTCCACCTTTCGAATGCGGATGGAGCTCTCCTCGGATCTGCTTCGTGGTTGGTTGATGTTGGTTGTAGGCGAGTTTACCCCCACAACTGATCCTACCCTACTGATCTTGTAAGGTTTATAACCTACTGGCTTGTGAACTAACAAATGGCTTTGTCAAATTTAAGGGGCAAAACTGAATCCCTGAATCCCTGAATCCCATGCTGCAATGCTTGATCATCACTGCAATGAAACATTGCCAGTTTTGGGATATGACAATTATGGAGAAACTCATTGGACCGGCTTGGGCTCAGGACCTTCCTGGAAATCAATTCACCATGAGGAAACTGCATTCATGTTCAACAGATCACATCATGCCCCCCCCCAAAAAAATATGCGTGTGTATATATATATATAAATATAAACTATATATGTATATGTAAATCTATCTATATGTATATACATATTATATACCTGCAACATCCGCCTGTGCTGAATCTTTGCCTCTTAGCGAAGAGTACAAAATGTCAGCCCCTAAAAATTAAAAACACCCCTGGCAGTTTTCTTGAGCCAGAAAAGTGTACTTGGAAGATCATCCCTGGGTCATATCCAAGTAGTTTTATTCCAAGTTGTGATTCCAATGCTACAACTGTTGGATACTGTTGGTGCCTGCTACTAGCATCAAATCAGCGACTGAAGAGCATGCATGACATGCCAGTGTGGGATGAGCAAGTTGCTCGAATGGTATGAAAAAGGGCAAACAAAGCTGCTTAAGGCTTAAGAAAAGAAACGCCATGAAGCCAAAGACAGGTGAAGTGGGAGCCATGGTCCCAGTGTCAAAAAAACAGAACAGGATCGCTCAATTTGATTATGCGCGTTGTGTGCGCCCATGGTTCGCCACCCGTATCATACCTGAAAAACCTTGAATTTGGACATTGAAAATAGGTGGTTTCCCAATTACGGCAAAGTACGCCTTTTTCCCGGCAAATTACGCCCCCCTAAAAGCGTAGGATTTTGGCAAACATGAAACCATGTTATATGTTACCATACCTTATCATACAAGTAATTACAGTAGATGATCCCGGGTTTTGTGATCAGGAGCTGATCATGCCATAAACAAAATTGTCGTTCGTCGATGTCGCAGCACTTGATGGTAAGGCTATCAGGCCATGATAACCGTGTAATGCCAGGACAAACGCGTCACACGAAAAGAGTATCTTGTATGTGATATGATGCATACTCTGCGCAACTGCTTCATGCCGTAGCAGCCCATGAGCACAGCTTTACCCGGCAACAAAGGTTCTGTGATGATTAGTTAATTATTCAGCCTTGCCCCTGAAACATCTTCGAACTTCAACAGGAAACTGGCGTCAAACCTACTAAAAGACATCTCTAATGATAGAACGTTCCAAAAGTCAAAAACGCCCCTTAGATAAAAAGGCAGATTTGGGCTAAGGGGGAAAAAAACGAGACCCTCAGGAACATCCAAGTATATAATATACATATATATATATATATATTAATATATCATAAATAAATAAATATATATCCCATCCCCCCATCTCCAACTCCATCCGCTCCAGGGCACATGTGTGGCCCACACATCCACCGCTTGTTCCGTTGCCGCCAGCCCCAGCCCCGGCAGCACCGGGTGCCCCTCCGGCAGCGTGTCCGCTGTGGCGGTGGCCAGGGCCAACGACTCTGAGGCCAGCTGCCGTTGCACCACTCCTGGCACCGTAGGACCGTAGGGTTGATATGATATGATATTGATATGATATGATATGATATTGATATGATATGATATGATATGATATGATATTGATATGATATTGATATTGATATGATATTGATATGATATAGATATGATATTGATATAGATATGAGATGATATTGATATGATATGATATGATATGATATGATATTGATATGATATTGATATAGATATGATATGATATTGATATGATATTGATATGATATGATATGATATAGATATGATATTGATATAGATATTGATATGATATGATATTGATATGATATGATATGATATTGATATGATCTTGATATGATATTGATATGATATGATATTGATATGATATGATATTGATATGATATGGTATGACATGATATGATATGATATGATATTGATATAGATATGATATTGATATAGATATAGATATGATATGATATTGATATGATATTGATATGATATTGATATGGATATGATATGGTATTGATATGATATTGATATAGATATGATATGATATTGATCTGATATGATATGATATTGATATGATATTGATATAGATATGATATTGATATTGATATAGATATGATATGATATTGATATAGATATTGATATAGATATTGATATAGATATGATATTGATATAGATATGATATGATATTGATATAGATATGATATGATATTGATATGATATTGATATAGATATGATATTGATATTGATATAGATATGATATGATATTGATATAGATATGATATGATATTGATATGATATTGATATAGATATTGATATGATATTGATATAGATATGATATGATATTGATCTGATATGATATGATATTGATATGATATTGATATAGATATTGATATAGATATGATATTGATATAGATATGATATGATATTGATATAGATATGATATGATATGATATTGATATGATATTGATATAGATATTATATGATATTGATATGATATGATATGATATTGATATGATATTGATATAGATATGATATTGATATTGATATAGATATGATATGATATTGATATAGATATGATATGATATTGATATGATATGATATGATATTGATATGATATTGATATGATATTGATATTGATATGATATTGATATGATATTGATATAGATATTGATATAGATATGATATTGATATAGATATGATATGATATTGATATAGATATTGATATGATATGATATTGATATGATATTGATATAGATATTGATATAGATATGATATTGATATAGATATGATATGATATTGATATAGATATGATATTGATATTGATATAGATATGATATGATATTGATATGATATTGATATAGATATGATATTGATATTGATATAGATATGATATGATATTGATATAGATATGATATGATATCGATATGATATGATATGATATTGATATAGATATGATATGATATTGATATGATATTGATTTGATATTGATATGATATGATAGGCATTTACCACTATATGGTATGCATATTAAGATATGATTAAGATATAATCAGAGGAATTGATCAAACCATATTTGATATGATAGGCATTTAAGACTTATCAATCACTAAAGTGTGATCATGTGGATTTCACCGTCCAAAGGGATATTTTGACCTTAGAATGAAGAACGGAGGTATAAAAACCACCTTTTTGTGGGGATATGCTTTTGGTTGACCAAATTGTTCTTATTTAGTCCCGTTTTTGGAAAGTTCCTCCCATTATTCCCGTTTTCCATGGTATTTGATGCTTCAAATAATGGTAAATCATGGCAAATCTATGCAAATCTCATCTCAAAAACGCTCCTGTAACCTTCAGCGAGTTCTCCAAGACCTTCTCCACCAGCCCCGAAGGCCCCGAAGAGAAGTCCGACGGAAGCTCAGCCAAGCGTTGCAGCAAGTCATTGGACTCTTTGGCCGCCACACCGGGGCCCTGGAGCCGGGCGTTGATGGCTGAAGGATGTAACAGTTACAATGGTTACAACATGACAACCTAGTGACATTCTATCTCATATTCTTTCTGGCATGTGTTCGGGTCCATGCGTGCCCAGCTGCGCCCGGAGCTCGCGACAGGGTTCAGGTCCATGCGTGCCCAGACTCAGCTGGAGCTCGTGATGAGCTTTTGGCACTCGACACACACATGCTGGCAGACAAGCGGGAGACAGGACGAGGAGAAGTGAAGAAGAGGAGATGAGGAGTGGCACCTTTGTTAAAATCTGGAGACCCTCACGTGGCAGGTGGAGAAAAATATCACTTTACTATTGCACTTTGGCATGTTCATCCATTTGCCGAGTATGAAGATGTATTGGGCGACCCCCCTGCCTTCCGTGTGTATCTACCCCCCCCTTCATACATTTCCATCGAATGTAGGAACGGGGGGGGAGCAGGTGGTCAAACCCGGCCACGGAATGCCACGGAAAGAGGTGTCAAGAAGGTTTATACATCATTATTTTTGATCCTCGATCCTCGATCCTCGCTTCTCGATTCCCGATTCTCGATTCTCAATTCTCAATTCTCCATTCTCGATTCTCAATTCTCGATCCTCGATCCAGGATCCCCGATCCTCGCTTCCCGATTCTCGATCCTCGATATTCGAACCTCGCTTCACGGTTCTCGATAGGCATGGAGGGCCCTCTGGCTCATACACTTGTAAGATATCGTGAGACTTTGTCAGAATCTTGGAAAACACTGCCCTGCTCCCAGTAATGTATGGCTGCACTGATGTGCAGGTCCCCCCCCCTTTCATACATTTTATTCCCATGCTCTGGGGTCTGTTGGCATACGTTGCCCTTCTCCATACTGGTGGATACTATTGGAACCACCTGGAACTCCTAGGATTCTCCTGGGTGTGCCCCACCCCCAATGTGCCCCACCCCCATACATTTTATTCCCATGCTACCTGAAATGTATGGCTGCACTGGTGTGCAGGTGTGCCCCCCCCTCTTTCATGCATTTTATTCCCATGCTCTGGGCTGTGTTGGCATGCGTTGCCATTCTCCCTACTACTGGAAACTATTGGAACCACCTGGAACTCCTAGGATTCTCCTGGATGTGCCCCACCCCCAGTACCTGAAATGTATGGCTGCACTGGTGTGCAGGTCCCCCCCCCTTTCATATATTTTATTCCCATGCTCTGGGCTGTGTTGGCATGCGTTGCCATTCTCTCTACTCCTGGAAACTATTGGAACCACCTGGAACTCCTAGGATTCTCCTGGATGTGCCCCACCCCCAGTACCTGAAATGTATGGCTGCACTGGTGTGCAGGTCCCCCCCCCTTTCATACATTTTATTCCCATGCTCTGGGCTGTGTTGGGATGCGTTGCCATTCTCCCTACTACTGGAAACTATTGGAACCACCTGGAACTCCTAGGATTCTCCTGGATGTACCCCACCCCCAGTACCTGAAATGTATGGCTGCACTGGTGTGCAGGCCCCCCCTTTCATACATTTTATTCCCATGCTCTGGGCTGTGTTGGCATGCGTTGCCATTCTCCCTACTCCTGGAAACTATTGGAACCACCTGGAACTCCTAAGATTCTCCTGGGTGTGCCCCACCCCCAGTACCTGACATGTATGGCTGCACTGGTGTGCAGGTCCCCCCCCCTTTCATACATTTTATTCCCATGCCCTGGGCTGTGTTGGCATGCGTTGCCATTCTCCCTACTACTGGAAACTATTGGAACCACCTCAAACCTATACGACCATAGGATTCTCCTGGATGTGCCCTGCCCCCCAGTACCTGAAATGTATGGCTGCACTGGTGTGCAGGTTCCCCCCCCTTTCATACATTTTATTCCCATGCTCTGGGCTGTGTTGGGATGCGTTGCCATTCTCCCTACTACTGGAAACTATTGGAACCACCTGGAACTCCTAGGATTCTCCTGGATGTGCCCCACCCCCAGTACCTGAAATGTATGGCTGCACTGGTGTGCAGGTCCCCCCCCCTTTCATATATTTTATTCCCATGCTCTGGGCTGTGTTGGCATGCGTTGCCATGCTCCATACTGGTGGATACTATTGGAACCACCTGGAACTCCTAAGATTCTCCAGGATGTGCCCCACCCCCAATACCTGAAATGTATGGCTGCACTGGTGTGCAGGCCCCCCCTTTCATACATTTTATTCCCATGCTCTGGGGTCTGTTGGCATGCGTTGCCATTCTCCCTACTCCTGGAAACTATTGGAACCACCTGGAACTCCTAGGATTCTCCTGGATGTGCCCCACCCCCAATACCTGAAATGTATGGCTGCACTGGTGTGCAGGTCCCCCCTCCCCCTTTCATACATTTTATTCCCATGCTCTGGGCTGTGTTGGCATGCGTTGCCATTCTCCCTACTACTGGAAACTATTGGAACCACCTGGAACTCCTAAGATTCTCCTGGATGTGCCTCACCCCCAGTACCTGAAATGTATGGCTGCACTGGTGTACAGGTTCCCCCCCTTTCATACATTTTATTCCCATGCTCTGGGCTGTGTTGGGATGCGTTGCCATTCTCCCTACTACTGGAAGCTATTGGAACCACCTCAAACTCCTAGGATTCTCCTGGATGTGCCCCACCCCCAGTACCTGAAATGTATGGCTGCACTGGTGTGCAGGTCCCCCCCTTTCATACATTTTATTCCCATGCTCTGGGCTGTGTTGGCATGCGTTGCCATTCTCCGTACTCCTAAACTATTGGAACCACCTGGAACTCCTAGGGTTCTCCTGGATGTGCCCCACCCACAGTAAAAGAGATGTATGGCTGCACTGGTGTGCAGGTCCCCCCCCCCTTTCATACATTTTATTCCCATGCTCTGGGCTATGTTGGCATGCGTTGCCATTCTCCCTACTACTGGAAACTATTGGAAACACCTGCAACTCCTAGGATTCTCCTGGATGTGCCCTGCCCCCCAGTACTTGAAATGCATGGCTGCACTGATGTGCAGGTCCCCCCCTTTCATACATGACAAACAGAAAAACCGCAGTTGGTGTTGGGGAGTTGGTAGCTGGGGTCGGAGGATATTGAGAACTATGGGCTGGTGAGGAAAGGTGAATCTCTGCAGTACCCTGTGAGTAAGACTGTTGAAAGCATCTGACACCATAAGACTTTGGAACTCAATGTCTGAAAAAAAACAGAGAGTTGAAAGAGTTATACGGAATGGGCAGGGTTGGATTAGATCAACACACTTCAACCATCTTCAACCCAAGGCTCAACCTAAAAAAACATCCTTTCGGTACCGTACAATCCTGAAAAAATGTTAGAAAAAGGCACCCTAACAATAGATAAGAATCAGCAACAACTACTGCATACTATTGCATTTAGTACATTTAGGCTTCTCAAGACAACCTTCATGTATAATGAATGTGCGGCATGGAACTGCTGCTGACCCCCCAGGTGCATACATTCATGATACTTCATCTGCGCCCCCCCCTTCCAAATTTCGCACCCCCCCCTCCAAACTTGGGAATTATTAATGTATTAACCCAGGGGGGGTAGGTGGCCTCCCATAATTTGGCAAACTTAGATTTCGGGGGGGTGGTCAAAAGCGTCATGCTATTTCGTAAGATTCCCCAGGAAAACTCTATGAGCATCAAAGATCAATGGCCTTGCAAAATCAATGTATGAAACCGCCTCCCCACCTTTTTCTAAACAAGCTTTTGAAGCCAAATACTGAAAATGTATGAGAAACACTCCCCACCTCTTTAGGTAATCTCTTAATTTTACAAAAACTAGTTCATACAAAAATACCCGTTTCAGAGGTGGGGGGGGCCCTGGAAATGTATGAAAATTCCCGGCTCCCCCCCCCTCAATATACATTTTAGGGGGTGGGGGATATTGGGCGCTGATACCTGCTGATACACCATGCTGGATGTGATATCTATCCCCTTTGATCGCTTCTCCCTCAAGACCACCCAGCCTCAAGTCATGCCTCCAATTTTTTCCAGGATCATTCAAGCAGTTCTACGTGGATCTGCGGGACTCAGGAATCGTAATTGGATCAAAAGCCACAAATCACTGTGGATATCCCACTGCAACTGGGGAAACTGACCATGGCAACATGAATCACTTTGGCTTTGGATGGCTTTGGATTCATAGGATGCAATCCTGCTGATGGAAAAGCCATCCTAAAGTTGCTTGTTTCTTGGGAAAAAACATATCGTCAAAAATTATACGAAAAACTCAGTGACGGATCATAGACTGACTATTTGAAATCAACAACAGTCATGGCGATATTTGGGGCTGTCCAGTAAGGGTTGGCCCTACTCCACCGCCGCATAGTCTATTCTCTATTTTTGGAGCGGAGAGCCGGCCTACCTCTGTAAGAACGACCCATCACTGTCACTGCCCTTGTCAACTCACTAACTGTGACCCCTGACGGATGACAAGAAAAAACTCAAAAAGCAATCCAGTGGTGTTTCAGTGCAAATCAGACACCATCAGTGGCTAACATAAAAAAAATGAAGCCTAACCAATCCAATCCACGGTCATCCTAAAATCTGTCACCACTCCCCAAGTCCTACCCCCTTTCCGGCCTTGGCCACCGTGATGTGCGGGTGCCGATTTTGGCACAGCTCCGCATAGGGCGTCTCCAAGTTCACCCGCAGGGCCAGCAGCCCAGCACCGCTGCGGTCGTAGCACACCTCCGCTCTGCGAACTGGGATTAGTTGCATCACCATGATTTTAGAATGAATGTGAATAAAGCAATAGGATCCACCACCCCCAGACCTGTTTTATCGGTGGTATAAACCATCAAAATATGGGTGGTTGATTACTGCTTTACTTTGTTTTTTACTAACGTTTTATGAAAAATACGGGGAGGTTATAGATGCTCTTCAATTGAACATGAAAATCTGGGCTGTCAGCAATGATTCGGCAGAAGACTGCAATTCCAACCACATTGACACTGGGCCAAAATCACCCTAATTTCAAATTTGGTGTATCATCCCCTCAAATTTGCATATCATCAACCGACATGTTCCTTTCCCGACCCCAGCCGACACTGTGACTTAAAACAGGGCACCGACTTCACTGAAAAGTGGACCTGCGAGCCTTCCAACTTCCCAAGCTCTTCCTGAAACGCTCCCGGGTTGGTCGATTTTGTGGTGGCTTCCTTTGTGAACCATCCGGATGATGGTGCGAGTCCAAGGTTTGAACATTTCATGGCCCAAATTGGCATGTTTGGAAGCTTTGGGAGGTTCTCTCAGAGGTTCCCTCACATCATTGCAATTATATGAAATAAATCCCATCAAATCCCGGTGTTTCTTTACTCTCATTTATCTTCTTGAAATCTGGTTCTTTCTTTAGAAAGTAAAACGGTGTGAGAAAAACCGGCGTTGTTTTCGAGATTTCCATCCAGCGTCATCCAACTCTGGGTGCTCTTCTGAGCCAAGCCAGGCAAGAGTCACCTCAGATACCCAGTTGGGTCACGACGGTCACAGGTGGCAAACGCCTAGTCTCTTTGATCCCAGAAAAGCCACGGATGGGGGGACACATGGGAACCCCATCTTTGCTATACCAAAATCGTGGTTCTATCGCTTCACCCGTTACTCACGCCGTCAGCCCCGGTTCACTGAGCTGGGCCCGACACCCACTGGGGCGGATGTTCAAACCTCACAAAAAAGGAACATAAAACATGTGGACACCCAAGTGAAAAAACAAACAAACTAGTTTCATGAACAACAAAAAACGTTCAATTATGGCTAGTCATAGTCAAAACATCCATCAGTCATCAATAGAATTTGTGATTTACCACAAATTGTATATAGATTAGTGATTGTAATTTTACTTGTTGATGTTTAGGTATAACCCTCATCATTAGGTGTCAAACATCGTTTCATGTTTCCCCTACAAAGACTTCATGGCATCGCCGGGCGACGTGCGGTTCGTTCACGGCCACCAGCTCGGGCATGGCGCGCAGCGCCTCAAGCAGCAGTAGGCGCAGTGCTTCTGACGTATCCTCCCAAAGGAAGTGCCAGTCCAGGGCGATCATCCAATACAGGGTCTTCCACCTGCGCCCACTTAGCTCGGTTATAAGATGTGCTGAATTGGATGGTTAACAATGAATATGTATATATATAATTATATGTATATGGCCATATATTTCAGTTGTACAAGGTCTTCCACCTGGGTGTGTTGAAGTGAGATAGCAATGTTCATAATTTCCTCATCTAACTAGATATGGTATCACCATAATCAGATTCATACACCCACTATTGGAAATCTTCTAATTGTAGTAAAGACATATCCACTTATACAAGGTCTTCCACCGGCAACCATATTAATGTTCTATATTGTTGTATTAGAGGGTTTGTCTCCCATGGATGGTAATTAAACGATACGATTTTGGGAGATGGTAATAAAGTAGGTCATCACTAATACACAGTATTGATGTGGGTTGGTTGAATAGTAAATAAACTCATATAATAAAAAAAATAAATAAATGCAATCTGATGTCAGTTGATGTGAATTGACTTGAAATGAGATTAACATATTTTAACATACGTCAACAAAATTTAACACTTGTTAAATAAGTTATATCACTAAGTTGATATAAGTTTAAACACAAAACATGTATGTGTGTAGAACCATATTGGGGTTTTGTAGTAATGCCCCACTTGTAGTGGCTTGGGATGGTGGAGTTTTCTTTGTTGGGCCTAGCCCCCAACGCGTTGACACCAAACAATCAACGTATCTAAAATCAGCGAAGTTTTACAGTATCCAATTTGTTTGTGTATTCCATGTCAAGCAGATAGGTGATATTTGGCTAAAAAAATATGTACAGTAAATTATACGATGTATATTATATATATATAGTATATTTATATTGCACAGGTGTAAATTTTCAAAAATACATCTATATTCTACTTAATTGATAGACGCCGGTGAAAATCATGACTTCCCGTTGCCATTCTTGACGCCCGGTACCTGCTGGAAAGCTTCAGCTCATGGGCTTGAGAGCTCTTCACAGCTTCCTCTCGGAGATTTTGCTTCGTTTTTCTGGTAGATTTTGGTGCAAGGAGTTGTTTGAAGATATGGTCCCATGGGCTTCTTGAGGTCGCAACCCCAAGAAGTTGATGTTTTTTCCCAGTCAGGTGAGGGTTGTTAGATTTGTCCCGCCGCCTTCTCCTCCACCTCCGCCGGACCTCAACTGCAAGCGCTAAATCGCAGTGTTCTCCACGGGACCCGAACAGCGAGCTCTGGATCAGAGTGTTCCCCGCCGGACGTCAACCACAAAGAATCTCCGAAGATATACCAAATAGAATGCCAGAAAGAATGTCAGATAGAATGTCAGAATAAATATGCCATATACACTTCCAGATGGTATGTCAGAAACTATGTCAGAATAGTGTTTCAAGGTGGGAATCACACGAAGAAAGTAATTGAGGCCAGTAGCTGCCAGATGCAAGATTTGGTAGTGTATGGTAGTGTCAAATCATGACATGCTGTGGTTTCACCGCCACAAGAAATAGGAAACCCAAAACAGGCAGTTTCTTGACACTTCACCCAAATTTCTCCTGGAGACTGTCTATCCCAGCGGGGCCCTTGTCCGTTGGTACTTGAGACGCATCCTGTTTGAATTATAATCATGACTCAACCGGACGGCGTGCATCAATTTGCAAGGACAAGTGCTTCAAATCGTCGTTCAAATATCAACGGATTGTTGAAAGAATCGCATCTTCCCACTGGGATTTTGAGAGGTGCTCACCTAGTGACAATTCAGAAAGAACAGCCTGATAATCACAGCATCTAATAATCTAAAAATGAATACATATATTAATACGTAATACTAATCATCATCGGTGCCATCATCATCTTTTTCACATTTCATCACCATTGCCAGCATTTTTCTGCTGGGTAAAAAAAAACCTCCCAATGACTTGGCTGCTCAGTCGCCCGGTCACTGATGAGTTGGTTTGACTTATCCAACTACAGATGTGATATAATATAATATGATATAATATTTATATAATATGATATAATATGATATAATATGATATATATGATTTGATACAATATGATATAATATGATATAATATGATATAATATGATATAATATGATATAATATGATATAATATGATATAATATGATATAATATGATATAATATGATATAATATGATATAATATGATATAATATGATATATATATGGTTTGATACAATATAATATGATATGATACAGTATGATACAATGTGATATAATATAGTATGATATAATATGATATTATATGATGTAAACCACCATACACTGCGGTTCCGAACCAACTTGATTATAGTTAATTGCGGGGGCCCGAAAAACATAGCATCCTCCATGCTGTCGATGTCGTTGGAAACCCCGTCTGCCAAGAAGCCACCCTGCGCCCAGCGTTGGGTACGAGGATGGGGCAAAACTCCGACGCCTTTAACGCCGATCAAAGGTAGATTGTTGGATTTCTGAGTTAGAAGAGAAAAAATTGGCTAGTCGAAATTATAAATTGGTAAATGGACCCACCCAAAATGGGTACATCACCTATCAACAGATGGACGTTAACATACAAACAATGGAGACATTTACCAAACGAAGGCAGGGATATGAAGCACACAACAGGACCAGCATACTGGCATCCTTTCTGCTCAGAAATTATGAATCCTCACATCCCTGCAGCAAACACCGGTGCTCAGTTGGGCCAAGGGCTGTCCAATTTTAGGACTGGCCACAAAACACTGGTTTTCAGCAATGTAACCATCCCCGTCCAACCATCTTACTTGCCAAACGATCCTATCTTTCGGGCCTCCGGTGATGATTCGGGTCACTGATGGCGTATGTCTCAATATGATTGCTCCCCCAGATTGGAACACTACCCCAACGACAAACAATGGCAGGTTTTGGGTCAAGACCTTGTACACCTGCAGTTCACATCTCAAAGGTGCTGCCTTTGTTAACCCTTTTTCGGGGACAGTGCGTTTGTCTCAAGTTTTGGAACCGCAAAACTAAGGCCCGGAAAATCATGTGTTCCCGTCTTCTGGAAATAACATGTATTCTGTATTCGTATGTCCATATGTTCATCAAGCATGCCATCAAGCAAAAAGACCATCGATTTATAATGATTTATACATATCCCCTCTGCTCAACCCAAACACTCAGGCCATCTTGGTGTGTGTAAGAATAGGCTATACCCTAAATTATTATATGAATTGGGAAAATAAGCATTAAGCATTGGATTTGTGGATACTGTATATATAGATATCCTACTGTGCATGGTTGCGAAATCGCCAATTGGTAGATGGTCTATCCCCTCAAAAAAAAACATTATAAAAACAGTGTTTCATTGGAATCCCATCGTTGCCAACTGGTGCCGGATTTCCCAGCCATCCATATCCCATAGGATCCATGGTGCTGGTATATATATGCTAACATGAATGGGGTATATTGATGGGATCCATGTTACCATATATAGCAGCACCATGGATCCGTCATGGGTAATATGTTCAATCAAAGCCAAATTCATGGTATACCACCCAAAAAAATCTATTTTAATATGGAAACGGAGGAATTTTACCAATGGATTTAGAGGTACACTATTCTCAGACACAGCGGAAAATGCCCCGCACCTCTTTCAGCTTCTTCAGCGCTTCGGACAGCATCATCAAGCGCGGCAGCCTCAGGTCCAGGTCGCTGCAGAGGTCCAAGCTGCACTTCTCCTGGCTGTTGGTTCCGGTTTTGGACACAAAAAATGAATCATTTGGCAGTGGGTCAAAACCTTGTACCCCTAGTGAACCCCAAAATAGCTGGTAAATGGATGTTCATCCCACTAAAAATGTATCTATAGGTATTGACCCATACCCATTTCACCAACTAACAAATCAGTTGAAGCCCTTTACCAATGATTTGTATGGCTATAAATGAAGTTATCATTCGATAAATGGGGTTATAACAGCCTTATATATAACTGGTCTAAGGGCCGCAACTGTGAGGATCTGACCCCTGGATTCTCATCACCGTCAAGTGCTTGCGGTACGTTCGCCAGATTTGTGGCCATCTTTAGGAGTCAACCACATTTTTTTGGGCTGTGATAGTTGTGACCCCATACTTATGAACCAAACAACGATGTTGGTAAACCAATGCATATTCTGGTTGGTGGTTTCAACCCCTCTGAAAAATATTAGTCACTTGGGATGATTATTCCCAATATAATTATGGAAAAATGTTCCAAACCACCAACCAGATATTTGTTCTTGTCTGACAAACGGCCGAGGATACATAAAATATCTATATAGTAATCAATAAATTGCCGAAATATCGGATGATCACTGGAACGCAATCCGCCAGGGACCGCCAACGATGGGGATACTGATCAACAGTGGAAACCCTTAAGACCAATGACATGCCAATTAAAGCAGAGTTTCAACCAACTGGGTGCGTCAAAGGCTACTTGCCAACTTCAAACCATTGATGGGGACGTTAACTGGTCAACCAACTAATGATGGGGATCCTGGGAATATCTGGAAATTCACCCTCCAACAAGCCCTCGGCTTGTTGGCTGCAAACGGGTATGGCTCTGATCAACGCCCATTTAGGGGATTGTTCCAAATTTTTAAATTACCCTCTGGTAAACTAACATAACTATGGAAAATCACCATTTTTAATGGGAAAATCCACTATAAATGACCATTTTCAATAGCTATGTTAAATTCCCAGAGGGTAACCAGCTACTTATTGGTGGGTTCGGACCGGCCCATTGGCCCATTGCCGCCTCATCGGTGAGCACTTCGGCGTCCTGACAAATGGCTGAGTGGCCCAGTTGCAGGGGCCCCTTGCCGTTTACAAGGTGGGAGATGTGGGAGCCTCAAACGATTGCTAAATTGGTGAACATAACTTGCTAAACCAGGGTCTATGGGGGATATAATTATATAAAAAGTAAAGGTGGTTATAACTTTATGTTATAACTATAAACCAGCTTGTAACCGGGTGGCCCCTACCCAAGGTACCGCTTCGTCCAATAAAATTGCTAGTTCTAACCCCATCATTTTTTTTTGATCACGGGATGGGACCTGCAGGTAAGATGAAGAATAAATGCAATAAATGGACCACCAACGAGTGAAAATCTGAAGTTTTTTGATGTTTTCCGAAAAAAAATCCTGCCACATCCTCAAGCAAATTAGCAAATATGTAACTGATGCAATTGACATGATGCAGTGACATATATTAAAAGTGCTCTTTCCCTGAGCCATCAAGGCCAGGCAGCCGTGCCAAAATCAACGAAAATCTGTGTGAAACGATGGGACCACTGACGTTACATGGCTACATTTCCAAGACGTCCTCGTCTTTCTCCTCCTTGAGAGACTTCACCACCTCCAGAAGCTCCAGAAGCTCCTCCTGCGACTTGCTGGCAAGTTTCTCCACATCGCCTACTTTGGACTTGACAATGAACAACTCCTGCTGGCTTCTCCACAACTCGTTCTTCACAGACTCCTCTCGTGAGAGAATGCCCTTCAGCTCGCTGTCCTTTTGCTCTATTGCCTTTTGCATCTCTGCTTGCCGGCCCTCAAGCTTCTGGAGACTGGCCTTCAGAATCTCCATCTGCGCAGGGCCCACGAAATCCTGCAGTTTCTCCTTGAGATCATTCTCCTGCTTCCTCATCATCAGGGTTCCATTGATCATCACATGGTCTTCTTCGCCATTCAGCAAGTTGTCCATCTGGGATATCAAGCTACACAAGTCGCATCTTTGACAAACTCCATGAGGTCAGGTGAATTCATCAAAATCACAGGGAGCAAGGTCAAGACAAGGTCAAGACAGATTGGGAAAGGACTTGGTTCACCAGTAAGGAACAAAAGAGCCTCAATATTGGACGATGATCATGCTAAACAAATTCATCTCGAAGTCTCGAAGTAGGGTTTCCAAAAAGGTATGTACTCACTATGAAGAAACGAATGCTCGCGAAGACGCTATACAGCACTGACAAATGCACCACAGATGTAGAAGAAGCATTGTTAGTTGCTGAACTCATCAAACTTGTCCTGGTCGTACACCGTCATTGCAAAAAAATACAGCATGACCTGAACGACAAACATCACAAGACATTCGAAGTTCCAAACTGACACTGGTGAGGGGCGCAGAACCTTGGCTTCACTTTCTTCTTCCAGCCACCTTTTGCTGATTGCTTGGCACATCATGCCCCAGCACTGAAACTGAAAGTAAATCAGCACCTCCAGGATAGCTACTTGAGGAGAATGCTTCAGCATTGCAAACAAGCTGCTGACCGAGATCACCCCGGTATTTGAACCTTGTTCGCCTTGGATTGACAGCAACACACGCTGTAAGAAAGCAGGTGGCGCGGACTGCTTGCCATCCTTGAAGAAATGCTGTAAAGTTGTAGTTAATTAGTCTCCATCATGGGGCGGTCTTTTAAAGATCTCCAGGCCATTGAAGTCCCATTGTGTTTCCGTGGTGACCCGTGGTGGTAGCGGCAGTTGTCCTCACAACCGCACTGGCCCACAAGACCACGTGCAAATCGAAGAGATAGACGCGTGCAGCCATTGCAATGGACGAAGATGTTGTACAACCCTCTGCGATCCAAAAAAACCGTTTGCATCAAACAATGTGTATCCTTAACTGGTCCATTCAGGGTAATAATGCCCAAGTGTCCAACACAGCCATGCAATGTCTAAGGCGGTTCTTTGTCTATCTTGTTGCCCCGACGAGAAAGTGAAGAAGTGGGTGAGTACCCAGCACACACGGCGCTGATGACTGAAGGGCTCAATCTATACATATCTATATACAGTATCCAAAATATACGCACTGCAAACATCATCGCTGCAACAGCAAGAAAAGTATCAACTTATCAACCGTGAACTGTAGCACAACTCCTTCCGCCCCAGAAGGCCCCTTGCCATCCTGGGCCATCCCCTGCCCTTCGGATCCCTTCGGATCCCTTCGGATCCCTTCGGATCCCGTCGGTGCCTCTGCCGCACCGCAGACCACCGAATGGGCGTCCACCGCTTGGGGAAGCAGTGAGAGATGTCCCAAGCCTCGCGACTGGATGCGCTGGGTGCACAACTCAGCTGCCTGGCGCTGGGAGGAAAACGAAACGACGTTGGAAACATGTGACACATGTGGCTTT